GTTGTTTAAAAAAAATTCTTTCGAAGTTTCTATAAAAGACCTTGAACTTTATTGTACGGTAAAAGTTAAAGTGACGTATAAAAAATGAAACGAAAGAATGAAAAACACTTTCATTTTTATTTGAAAATTTCTTTGAATACTATTTTCGCAATTCTTAGTATCATGAAAGTGGGTTACATTATTGCGGATAAAAAAAGTTATCTTTGGATTTAAAAATTTAAAACCTCTTAAAAATAAAACTTTCACAAGAAATATTTTTTTCAGATACGTATTTATGAAACAAAAAAAAAAGTTCAAAAACACTTTCAATTAGCAGTCGTTTTTAGAATACCTATAAATTGCCTTGAAGATTTTTCAAATGGATCACCAGTTATCGTGTTGTAGTTCTTGAAAACTAGGTTTAGAAACTTTATAAATAGTTCAACTTCATTTGTGACTACGTATAAATATATTTCACGGAAGTTATATATATATGCATACTCATATACGTATTCGATATATTGCTGATTTCTTTCAAGACTACCATCATCTATTTTAAATTCAATTATAATAAAAAATCGAATACAATCTACAATTGTGACGGATAACAAAAGGAAAAATCGTGATCAACGGAATAATAAAGAGCTTTATTGGTTTCCAGCAAATAGTTATAATACAATGAGGCGTTTAGAAATGTCCAAGTGTCTTTATCATCATCGCCATCACCATTGCCATAATATAGGGGTCCAGAATGCTGTATAATTACTCAACGAGCTAAGCTATTCATCCAGCATGTCTTCGACCTCTTTACTTAACTCTATAACGACATTATTATTCTACCGGAAGTTGTTTTTTGCTTATTTCAATTATTGCATTAATTCCTAAAAATTGTTTCATTTATTTCTGTTAAATACTATGTTTCGTTTAGCTAGATTAACAAAAGTTTGTAAGTAGCAAGTTCTTTTATGTAATTTTTCAATAATCAAAAATATTATTACAAGAATAATTCTCTTTAAGATTATTAAAAGCATATTTCTTAGAATACAATAACTCCACTAGAAACATCTTCAAATAAAAGAATTTTTTTCAAATAACACATTCTTTTCTAACATTATTTCTATAGAATCTGGAAAAACATTGCCAAACGTTTCCAAAGAATAATTGAGTTCGTTTTAAGAATGAAAATTCAACAGATAATAAAAAATAATGTATAAAGTGTTCATATTCGTTTGATTGATCAAATATACTTTTATAAAAGTATAATTGATCACTTTTCTTTTATCATGTCGCAATTAAGTCCTGCTACTTAGCTTCTATTGCACACATACATTAGCATTAATTATTCAATATCTATTGTAATTACACTCTCATTTAAATTAATAGTAATAATATTCATATTTTTGCAACGCTAATTTAATATTTATTATTCCTTCATCAATACTGTTATGAAGAAAGTCAACGTAAAACATATAAACTCGAAATTCTTTTACAAGAAAATGGAGTAAAAAGGCTCCAAAATAGCTAGTTCTCACAAATAATATTATTGTAAAGTGTTTTGTTAAATCACTCAATAGATAAAACTCCTTCAAACAATTGTTCTTTAATTGTCAACAAATATATAAAAATAATCAAAAGATTGAAAATAGTACATACACTATTGTGAAAAATGATATAATGATAGAAGAAAAAAAATGTAAAATGGTAAGGTCATAGTAGCTATTAGGTTGAAAGTATATAATTGATTTGATGATTACATATTTGTTGTTTTATATTACGCGGTATTTAGTTTAGCTAGATTACTCGAAGACATAACATGTAGTACATACGCGTATTTACCAAGAAAACAAGAATATATTTATTGACATAGTTAATGATGACTGATCATAGACGAGATTACATACAAGTTTTTACTTATACAAAGTCAATCAAAGACTTGCCGCTACGCATATCAATGGATATATTGTCGCCGCTCTGTCATTTTCTTCACAATAAAATATGTGCGAGGCCAACTTACCTATTAACCTGAGGAATCTCTGTTAAATTTGCTCATTTTATTTAATAATTAAATAAATAAATAAAGTAGAATATACCGTGGGTCGAAAGAGATGAATATTCCTTGAATTTTAAGATTAAAAATGGAGCAAAAAACCTATTCTATGAAAGAAGAACAAATTTTTATACTGTGAGAAAAAAATAAAAAGAGAAAAATTTTCTTCATACTTATTCATCACCGAAATTCCGGAATGAGTCACACAATTATTAGTCGGTAAATCTTTATTCTCATACACAAAACATTCTCTTTTTCTACTGAAACCTCATGTGGCTTTTATCTTTAGCTTATTATTATGATTATTGTTATTTTCATTATCAGTGTTCAATGTAATGTAGAGCTATTTGTGTAAATGATGAGATGTATGACATTTTTCTTGGTATAGGACTAGTACACGATTCGTATAAGAAGTATGTAGTAGTAGGGAGAGATTACATGAATGAATGTGATTCATCGTTGTGTATATAGTAACCGGAAACGCAAGGACGTGCTTTCATAACTCTTTCTCTCTTCGTATCATATTAAAAATACAATATAATCGTATATACTGTTATAATTATAATTGATCAATTTTATTGAAACAATTAGACTTTTTGTTCAAGGCGAAAACCATACAATTGACCTTGACTAAAGATTGAGGATCAATGTGAATCAAAATTGTTTTAATCACAGCATTGCAAAATTTTTTTATTCATGCGTACGTGTTGATAAACAAAAAAAAAGTAAAAATATGACCCTATTAATTAATTACATCTGCATAGTTATATAACAACTCTACTAATTGTTTACAAATAAAAATACATTTACCCTTGGTGATAATGTATAGAAACAAAGAATCTCTTATTAATAAATTTTTTTGATTACATTTAAAATATATAACGAATTAATTATGATGAGAAATATTTAGAGGTTTTATTTGACTGTGTTATTTATAACTTTCTTAGAAATGATTGATATATTTAAATTGATTCTTTTATGCCATAACCGAAAATTGAAATTAAAATTTCAGTGACCACATCCGATGTCAAGGTCACATAGATCAGAAGCTACTCTAAAACCCATTAAATTTTCTTTTAAAGTTTTTTTTTAAATTCTTTGAATGACTATTTAATTCAGATAAATATACTTAGATTAAAATTGAATAATAATGAATTTATTTGATAATATAATTAAATAAAAGCTAGTTAAATGTCAATTAATATATCCGAAGTTTGCTATTTATGGTTATACAGGAAATGCTTAGAATAGACGATAGGATGTGAGTACTCAATAATGTTACCATATCAAGAATAAATGTAAGTAAGAGTTTAGAAAAGAGTAAAAAGAAAAAAATGAAAAGAAGTCTGAGATAGTGAGAAATTCAGCGTCTGATTCTACGTGTGACTCATTCATCCAATGACTAGTGTGAGTATGGATGACAGTTATCCCCACTACATTTAATCTTTTTCTGAGAAGAATAACGTATACACATACGTAACACATAAGATATACATCCCTGTATTCCCATGCTTCTAAAAATTTTATCAGACAAAATTGTAACTGAAATGAGCAATCAATTTATATATATCTCAGCTCCAAATTGACTCAGGTGATTATTAAAATAGTCATATAAATTCAGGAAACGGTTATAATATAATTCGTATGTGCTTTTATTATTAAAAAATATTAAAAATACGTTTTCTACTAATTATATAACAATATACATCGTATAATAAAATCATTTAATGAAAAAAAAAGTGTTTGCTCCAAAAATCTTAAAAACTTCCAAAGAAAAACAGCCTGAAAAAATATGTGAAGAACAGTTGTAAGGTTGCCATTAAAAAGATGTTTAGTTAATAGGAAATAAAAAGGTTTTGATTAAATTACAATAATTAGTTATAGAGACTTGAATTTCAATGGAATAAAAACAAGTAATCCTCCGAATTTCCATGCTTGTTTTTACCTGACAGATGCATTCCAAAGTGCGTAAACAAAAAATTATGATTTTTGACATTTACGTTATCCTAAGTTACATGGCTCGCCACAGCACATATGAGGCGCGCATATCGTATGACTAATCTGTTCTCTTCCAGTCCACTAGTTTCTATAATTTAAGTTTACCAGTGATTCTTTTTAGGAATCGTGTTGTAACATTTCACTGGCATCAGAATCTTACATTTTTATTCTGTTGTTTTTCTTATTTACATACAATATTTAACTAATTGTGTCGTTGTAAATAAAATTGTTATAAAAAAAACATGCATATACAGACATGAGTACTTTCGAACAATTCATTTTTTTACACATGCGTACGTACGTAATACATGAAAATTCAAATATTTTATTGAAAACAATTAATAAATAAGATTTAGAGAATATATTAAATCGAAATGTCTCAAGGTCATCTTCTTTGTATTTGTAAAAAAAAATATTGAAAATAAATAGAAATGTGTAGGAACAAGTCGTTAGGGATAAAAAACAAACTAGAATGATATGCGTGTTATTTTCCCAACTGACAAACACATAAAAAACACCTCTAGAGATTACCATCATATTTTATGCAGTCTCCACGTGGGCAGAATCGCGTGACGTAGTTTTCGTTTCCTCACGTGTGTCAGAGGTTTTACTTCATTGCTTACATATTTTCTTTCATTATCATGTCTTGACTTATCATGCTTTATACTGTCGAGATTCGAGAATTATCGAAAGTACATTTTGTTAATACATTGAGTTTTATTACCATTCATATAAATATCTAGGTAATATCGTATTATAGAATATATTCTGATACAAGAAAATTAGCTATTAATTAACAGAACTGTCTACTGTGCAAGCGTGGGATTCTGTGATTTTTTTAATTTAAACGTTGAGTATTTAATCGAAGATTGGTTATGTGTAGGCTTAAGAAATTTCTTTTTTTTTTTTTTTTAATTTACTAATGTGTTATAATAATTAACCATTTTTTTTATTAAAAATTTTGTTTCTTTTATAGATGTCAGAATTTCCTAGTGAAGCTGAAAACGGAAGTATGCAAAGTGTCATGGAAAATTTTCAAAAAAAAAAATAACTTGGTGACAAGTAGAGTAGCTCATCCTCAAACTTCAAGCTCACAGGTAATTAGAAAAATTTTAATCATTTTTTATGTTTACTAAGATACTTTTTTAGTGTATTTCAATAGTGAAATGTAATATACAAACGTAAACAAATATCATTAATTTATATTTCATAATATTTATAAAATTTTAATATAAACTGAAAAAAAATTATTATTTGTTGTTTTCATATTAAAGTTTTTTCTCATAATTGTATTAAAAAATTTTATTCACTTTTGAACAGCTGTTTATTGTTTATTAACAAGTTTAATTTTAATTGAGTCTTTAGTCAAAACGTTTATGATTTAACGATAAATTTTGAAATTATTCACCAGATCTATATCAAGATCATATGCATCATGAATTAAACCTATAATTGATGAAATAAATTATCATTTATTTAACTAAAAAAGATGAACTTAAGCATTGCATAATATTTTATTTTACCTTGAAATGAATTGGCATGTTCTCAATATTTATCTTGCCAAAAGTACTTTAGTTAAAGTGAGAGAGGGATCACTGTGCTATTGCAATGTGGTCAATTTTTAAGCTAAGCTTACGTCCTCAACATTCTATGAACGAAGCTTGAAGTCATGAGTCATGGCCTCTGCAGAATCAAAATAGCGCATTTTTTTGAGACGAAACTTTCATAAGAAGATGAACCGTTTAACATGTATTTGCTTTTCACAGATGCTGATGAATCAAAGTCAAAGTAGCAGTAGCTCGAGCAGCACAACGACGAGTAGTCGAGTTGCTAAATCCTCTCAGAGGATACTCACATCTTCCTCATCTAGTGAAATGAAGACTAGTTCTATGAAAAGCGATTTAACTGAGCTTAAGAGAGGTATCTCAGAAATGAAAAACATATCAACTAATTTTTCACATAGGCTGAGAAACAGTATGGAAAATCTCGTTGACAGGTAAGTCATCAAAACATTATTCATTCTCGTAAAAAAATTTAGAGATAAACCAAAATATTTTTTAATACAGAGATGTCAGAAGTGCTGATGATGAAGATGATGAAATTGAACCACTAGTTACGTTTCCTGATTCGGATACACCACCACCAGTCACTGGAGTTGGAACTTTAACAGTAAATTCATCATCACAACTTGCAAACCTTAATCCTTTGAATGATCTTCACTCTATGAGTCCAAAAATAAATATGTCCACAATGCCCAACATTGGTCTTACTACCGGTGCAGAGACGATGAAATTTGAACAGAAGAAAATGACAAGTGCATCTAAAACGAAGGTAAAAGCTCAGTCAATGATTAATTGTTAAGTAGATGCCTCGGTTGATTATTTTATATTTTATCTATTTTTATTAATAAAATTTTACTTATGTTGCCAATTTTATTTCCTATATAGGTCGTCACTGATGGGTTTAGCGCAGAAAAAGCTATTGCTAATAGTGCTGAAATGAGAGCTCTCCAAGCTGGTGATGTTTCTTACAAAGAAGAAAGCTTAGCTTCTGCTGCGCGAGCTAGAGTTGAAGTTGATGGAGTTTCTGCTGAAAAAAGTGTAGCTGCAGCAAGGGTAAATTATTATTTACTTATTTTTCTATCAAATGTTTTTATTTAGTATGAAGAAATTTACTTTATTTAATTATTTGAAATTTAAAAAAGAAATTGATCAGCAGTTAATTCATTATTTCTATAGCCACGTGAGCTTTTCACTGATTATTGCATACATATATATAAATGTTTACTTCTCTGTGTATCACTGTGGAAACTCCCAAGCCGGTCAATAAGAAAACTACCCTATTACTAACATAGGTTTTAACCCCAGAGTAGAATACAGTAGTGTTATTGTTATCGAACTACGAGCTGTGCAAAAATTCATGGCTCTTTTCTTTTTATTATAATGGGCCTCAGATTTACCAAATTTTCTAAATTTATTTCATTTTATATCAACTCTCAGAAGCCACCGAATTTTCTAGATCATGCCAAAAATATTAAAGTGGTATTAATTTTAAAGTTTTCATCATTCATTTTTCGTTCAATCGTCTTTTCATTAATCTTTGATAAAATGTGCGGACCTTGAACATTGCATGAGATTATTATTGTTATTATGATTTTTTTCTGGAGTAAAATCGATCGCATTGTTGATGTTATTTTAAGACAGTGGTGAATAATATTATTTCCAAGAAATATTTTGTTATATAAGTCTTTATTGATTGTCATTAACAATTTTGTCAAATTTTCTCTAAAATAATGGTCATATATATTTTTGAATATAACTAAAACAATAACAAGAACGTAAATAAGAAACCGACTCAAAAAGTTTTCAAACAAAATATTATATAGCGAGAAAAAATTCAATAGATTATTTTGAGGAAAAATAAAATAAATTATTTGGAATAATATTTATTATTCATTCTAAAAATGAAACGATTTTATAATTAGGATGTTTTGTTTTGATTGTTCTTAGCTATTAATGACTCAAAATTTTTCAAAACACTTGTTTACAATATTTTTCATAAGAAAATAATTTGTGATATTAATTGTTTAAATTTATTGTATTAGGAACAGAGAAGTCTAAAAGCTGGAGACCTTTCTCATCATGAAACTAACAATGTAGCAGCTGCTAGTATGAAACTTCAAAGCGATTCATTTTCTTCTGAGAAAGTAAGTATAAAAGTAATAAAATTAGAAATGAATCTTTATCAATATTTCAAAACTGTCGTTAGCTACTTCGAAAAAAATATGATAACAAATACTAACATGAGTTTATGTGGAATCGTTATGATTGTAAATATAAGATCCAATCATCGACAAGAAGATAAGAAAGAATGCAACATTTATTAATCAGTGCTAGCAAAGAATGTACAGTGTAAATTGTTAGGTATATACTGTATTGTGCATGTAAATACACATATTCAAAGTGTCTTGAAGAAGATCCATTTTGGTTTGATGACGCAAACCATTCTCAGAAAATCGACAGATTATTTTAAACTCTTCAGTGAAGTGTTAAAATTCTTTAAACAACTTTATCATGCTTTTAAAAATTTAATATTATTGGATTTATATAAAAGATTGTCTGGTATATCTGAAGTTTCAAAGTGTATCTATCTAGTTGGGAGTGAACAGCAGCTTGCTGAATCACAACACATCTTGACATCTTATAATCTATTTATTGAATTAAATTAATCCATATATTTTTCTCAGACACTTAAGTACATAAAACAGTTTGTTTTCTTTATTTTTTGTCAATTCAATTGTTGAATTATAATGTCACACAAGTGGAGTGTTGATTTCAGAACAACAGAGGTGCTTATTGATAATAATTAGTATATATAATTGGTGAACACTCTCAAATAGACTAAAACGTCTAATTCTAATAATTTTTTCATAAAAACATAAAATTTTATGTTCACTGTTTTAAAATAATAATAATCGTAAATTAACTTATTTTTTATCATCCTTCATAGCTGGTATAATTAATTATTATTTATTTGATAACGATATCTAATTGTATTTGCAGAAAGCAATGGCTGCGCAGCAACAACGACAAACAATGACTTCTACTGGAATTTATAACCATGAAAAACACATAGCTTCTAGCTCACAGTCGAGTTATAAAATAGCATCAAAATCAGGTGTGACATCCAAGTCGTCAATGCTAACAGCAGCATCAGCAGTAAACCAACTAATGAATGGAAAAAGGCCTGCTGAAGATGAACTTCTTTCTTTGCCTTTAGATGATTTAGATCTTCTGTGTTCAAATTCCAATTCCCAAGATGTAGAAAAAGTTCTTGTTAAATATTCTGGATTTATAGACAGTTTTTTGGAGCGTTTGAAAGCTTCAGACTCAAATAAAAATGGAAAAGCTCCATTATTGTTAAACAGAGTTAATGAAATAATTAAAAAAGCTTGGGCAGTACCAACTCATGGTCATGAACTAGGATATACTCTATGTAACACATTGAGATTACGAGGAGGATTAGATCTTTTAATGTCCAATTGTGTATCAAGTGATCAAGAACTTCAATTTTCTTCAGCTCAATTATTAGAGCAGTGTTTAACAACAGAAAATCGTGCTCATGTAGTAGAAAATGGACTTGAAAAGGTTGTAAATGTAGCGTGTATTTGTACGAAAAATGCAAACTCTGTTGACCACTCAAGAGTTGGAACTGGAATACTCGAACATCTATTTAAACATAGTGAAGGAACTTGCAGTGATGTTATACGTTTAGGTGGATTAGATGCAGTTCTTTTCGAATGTAGAAAGAATGATGTAGAGACATTGAGACATTGTGCTGGAGCTTTAGCTAACTTATCACTCTACGGTGGTGCTGAAAATCAGGAAGCCATGGCTAAGCGAAAGGTACCGGTGTGGTTGTTTCCACTAGCATTTCATAATGATGATAATATCAAGTATTATGCGTGTCTTGCTATTGCTGTTCTGGTTGCTAATAAGGAAATAGAAGCATCTGTGTTGGAATCCGGAACTTTAAATCTTGTTGAACCTTTTGTTACATCACATAATCCTTACGAGTTTGCTAAATCAAACTTAGCTCATGCTCATGGTCAAGCGAAAAACTGGTTAGAACGATTGGTACCAGTACTGAGCTCTAAAAGAGAAGAAGCTAGAAATTTAGCAGCATTTCACTTCTGTATGGAGGCTGAAATTAAACAGCAACAAGGAAATACTGAAATATTTCGAGCCATTGGAGCTATTGAACCCTTGAAAAAAGTTGCAAGTTGTCCGAATGCTGTAGCTTCTAAATTTGCCGCTCAAGCACTTCGACTTATGGGTGAAGAAGTCCCACATAAGTTAAGTCAGCAAGTACCTCTTTGGTCTACAGACGATGTTAGAGAGTGGATAAACCAAATTGGCTTTGCTGAATATGCACAAAATTTTGTAGAGAGTCGAGTAGATGGAGATTTATTGCTACAACTAACAGAGGAAAACTTGAGAGAAGATATTGGCCTTACCAATGGAATCAGAAGACGAAGATTTACACGAGAATTACAGAATTTGAAGAAAATGGCTGATTATAGTAGTCGAGACGCTGGTAATTTAAACTCATTCTTGCAACAAATTGGTCAAGAATTTTCAATTTATACTTACAGTATGTTAAATGCTGGTGTTGATAAAGATTCAATCAAAAATATCAACGAAGACCAATTAATTAATGAGTGTGGAATTTCCAATAGTATACATAGGTTAAGAATACTTGATGCTATCAAAAATAGCCATTCTAATCAATTTAGTTCTTGTGAACTCGAATCACCAGACAAAAGTTTAGATGTATTTGTGAGTTATCGTCGATCCAACGGATCCCAATTGGCTAGTTTGCTTAAAGTTCACTTACAATTGAGAGGTTTTACTGTATTTATCGATGTAGAAAGATTAGAAGCTGGTAAATTTGATAATAATCTACTTCAAAGTATTCGCCAGGCTAAACATTTTCTACTCGTACTCACGCCCAAAGCTTTAGATCGATGTTCACAAGATCATGAATGTAAAGATTGGGTTCATAGAGAAATCGTGGCTGCTCTTCAGTCTCAATGTAATATCATTCCTATAATTGATAATTTTCAATGGCCTGAACCCGAAGAATTACCAGAAGATATGCGAGCAGTTTGTCACTTCAATGGTGTTCGTTGGATTCACGATTATCAAGATGCTTGCGTAGACAAATTAGAAAGGTAAATATGACATGTCTTTTTATTAGTTTATCATTCATATTAAATAGTTAAAATTATTTTAGCCTTGGTATTCTATATAAATGTCACTCTCAAGAATAATTTACATAATTGTATGAACTAACTTTACTTTTTTATTCTATTTCCGGTTAATTTTGATCATTTTTTTCATTGTCTCAAGTTGCAAATTAGAATTGAATGACCTTATTGTGCTTTTTATATAAGATACTTAGTAAACGAGTGGCAAATAAACTATGTAACGATTGATTAAATTTATTTATAATCTTTTTATATTTAGAATTGAATGAAAAATGATTGATTGATTTTTTTAGATTTATGCGAGGTGAAATTCCTATGCGATCAGATGTCATGAATAATATTCCAAGGGGAATCGGATCCAAGGAAGTGACAACACCTAGCACACCGGGTAGTTCAAATATTCGACAACCACCAAATTATCAAAGAATGCATAGCAATGAAAGTCGAGGTAGTGACAAAGACTCCACAAATAGTAAAGATTGACTAGAATACCCGCCCACAGCCATTCCATCAAGGTACATAGATTTATTTTTTTTTTTTTTATTAATATATTTCTCTATTATTAATAGTTTTTTTCCTTTTAGCAAGTTCAGAAAATCCTCAAATCCTAATCGATTAATGAGTATACCTCCAACATCACCTCGCTTGAAGTTTATTCACACATATCCTGGAAAAACTTCAGTACCTCAGAGACCGCCTAGACATCCGTCCTTGCCTTCCGTCCGATCACGATCTTTGGAGCTATTAGATCAATCAGATGAAAATTCCAGAAATAAGACAGATGATACTAAACAACTATCACCAAAACTACATTCAAAAAGTTTAGATGGTCTGTTAGATGAAAATAAATCATCTGACTTAATATCATCAAATAATAAAATTACAGGAACTAAAGCTAATGAAGAAGTTTTTACTTCTAGTCAAATTGCAAATGACACTACGTTAATTACAAAAGAAGGTGAATCACTTCAGGATGAAGAGAATTTATGTCCTCAACCTGTACCAAGACTTAAGCCGCGTTCATTAAAATTTGAAACACCTCAAATTAATGAAAAAGTGAAAGAAAATATTGATATAAGAAATTTAGAGGAAAAAGAGGATAAAATACAATTAGAGGTAACAGAATACTGTGATAAAACAAATTTGCAAGAAACTGACTCTGAAAATTTAATTAATTATGACGATAGCGTTGGTTTAATGCAAAATAAAAGTTGTGCTATGACTAAGACAAGAAGCTGTGGTGCGGGATTAGACGAAGATGATTCAATTTCATCGAATGAATATGACAAAAAGCTACAAATTCCAGGCTCCCTCCAATCGCTTGATATTGATACGAAACCTAAACGTAATTTTATGAATAAGTACGTAAATAAGATGAAATTTTTAATTAAAAAATAATTAGTATAAAATTATTTTTTGCTAATGATTAAATTTAATTGATCGCTATTTTACTATAAAAAAATTATGAACTTTTAGAAATTTATAATAATTATGACAGCAATCTTGGTGAAACAATTGTGCCTAAACAATGTGTCTCATATTATTTTTTGTTTACATGAATAAAATTTCAATTAATATAAGTGCCTATATAACATAATTACATAATATAATATGAATAGCTTTATATTGAATGCTTTAAGTCAGTTTGTGAACATGAAAGTTTTTGTTATCCAATTGTATTATAGGTTATCATAGTGTAGTTTCTAAATACAATATTTATCATTTTTTTAAATTATGTTTAACTATTTTATAAAGTTAATTTTATAAATATTTTCAATATTATATACATTTACATTATCGATAAATTGTTAGGTAGATTAAAGTAAATTATTTTCAAATTATTCCAAATTTCAATCTTTATTTATTCACAGTTTAAATCTTCAATTAAAATATAAAGAAAATTCAAATAGTCCTGTACATTTTTGTGTTTTTATGAAATTACAAAATTTCCTATTTTTATCAAATGAAAGTATTTCACCAAAGTATGGAAGAATAAAGTATATTGTTTTTTCAAAAATTTTTCTTACTAAAAACAATACTTGTAGAATAACTTATTTGTGTATTTACATCTCCAACATTATTTTTGAAATAAAACTACTGTATATGATTCTGTTAAAAACTTAAATATTGTAATTACATTCATTTAAAGCATTTTTTTTCTCACTGTGAAGCAATATTTAAATATAAATTTGAATATGTAATAGCATAATCTGGAGAAATTCATAAAAACTTTCACTAACTAATTTTTCCTTAAAAATAAATAATTTTCAATAATTCATCTATTTATTATGTCACCACGTCCACGGAGTCGTCGCAATAAAATAAAATCTCTGTGCATGAGAGTTACTCTTTTACTATTATATGATATTAAAACAGCATCTTCAAAAAATTGTACTATATACATTTCAGTAGATTCCTGAAGTGCTTGGAGAGCAAGAGCTTGAATTCTAATGAAAAGTGAATATGTATATTATAAATTATATTAATATTATGATAATTATAAATTGAAAAAGTACATTTAGTTACTTATACTGAGTGTTTGGAAAAATTTCCGACATTATTTCCCGTACAAGCCGTGAAAATGGCAATTTTGGTATCAATAATTTAGTTGACTTTCTATAATATTTTATTTCTTGTAATGCTCTGGTTTGACGATGAATTTTTTTAATTTTTGGAACTATCACTTCAGTCTAAAAATTTTGGAAATTAAGTATTCTTAGATTATTTTTGTTGTAATAATATAATGATAAAAAATAACTATTAGTTAAGTAAAGTTTAATCTAAGTATAATATCCTAATTTGTAAAAAATAGTTTTGAAAGTAAATGGTAATCAGGTTTGTAGATAGTAATTGAACTTATTCATATGCAGAATTAGTTGTACAAATTATATTAAAATCGAATTATACTTACTCTCCTTTTATTTTTCCCTTCTGGTATTTTTTTTGGACTACGTAACGGTCTAAAAATTAAAGTTACAATTTAAATAATAAAAATGATTGCACTCAATAAATAATCAGTAGGTTCAAAATATAAACATAACCTACTTACCCACTTTTGTCAGATTTTCGACGAACCATATTATTTTATTTATTTAATATTCTTACTATGCATAAAAATAAATTTAAAAATATTGCGACTAAATTCTATTGATGCGTTTGAATATTCACTTATTTTGATAGTTTACGATTGTTTATAAAATTGATGAACATTTGTTTGACAAAGACCGCCAAAATGGTTAATAATTACTCTAGCGGCAAAATTTAGAATTATTCGTTGATACGAACCAATCCGACACGCATAACCCAATTCAAATTTCGAATACCATATATGTAATTGACAAAGTTAACTTTTTCCATGCCAATCTATGTTTGTAAACAAATACATGCATTTATTTTTGTATTTATTTCTAAAAACATTTAACCCTTAAATAGGTAAGTATTGGATACAATACAACGATTATTACATAAAAATATTAAAAAATTGTATGAGTAACAAAATTTTTAAAAAAGTGAGCTGAATATAATGTTTTTTAGATATTTATAAAAAGTAATTAATTATATACATAATTCAATATATATATTTTTATTAAAAAAAGTAGTACGCACGATATTTAATAAGAAAAAGGATTGATGAATAATAATTCCTAATATAAAAAGAATTAAAAAATATTGATTTTTCATTGAACGGTAGAAATTTGAAAGTTGCACATTTTTCGTATATTTTATTTGGACATAGGAACTAATCATACTATACAATCTGATTAACAAATTAAACTTTTTATCATAAGAACAAAAAATTAAGTATTTATATGTACTCTAAAAACCATAAACGAGTGAATTTTTTTATAAATAATGAAAAATGAAGCTAAATACTGATTTTTCATTATTGCGACATTTCGGAGTAAAGTTAGGTAAAATTAGGAATAATTTATTGTTAGTGAAACCATTAGTTGAGTGAAGAGGTCCACTAACCCTTTTGGTCGCGAATTGTTATGTGGACAAGATAAGTTGCACTGTTACTCACCACGTGAATCTGTATCTACTGACCTTCAGGACCTTCGAAGCTATTGACAGACTTCTTAGGATCCTTTTGTTCCGGGTAGCTTAACTGTTTGAGACTCTAAGGTTCCCTACCATAGGTGAATAAATGCCTATTTTTACACACCAGCATATAGCGGTACCTTCGGGTGGTTATTGAGCTTCCTTTATATGAGTAAGCTCTTTTAATAAAAATAATCATTGCTTTACTCCTTATTGAAGGAACTCTGCAGAGATGCTCGTGTTCGCAACACCACTGGAGGCTACGGAAAGCTCCTCAGGACCTGGATATACCTTGTTGAAAGTTAAATTTATTCAGCCCAAAAAATTATGCCACGGTACGGGAAAAATATTTAATATGAGATCAATCAGACAAGTATAAAGGCGAACACCCTCTGGATCTCGGTGGACGCCAACACCTGTTAAACACCAACCTAGAGTACTGTTCCGGACTCAAAGACGATCTGCTGTTGAGATTCTACTACTACTAAATTTATTATGTTTATTCTCGATTAAATGTTTTTCTTTTATTTCTCAGTATTACACTTCAACAAGGAAGATTCTATCTGTGAGTATTCCAACGACTCTATATGGGTTTATCTCTGTTGTTGACTCTGTTTCTCTTTATAATTACATTTACGGATTCGTTTTACGAGCTCGTCGTTTTTTTATAAAGCTTCTTTCCTTAACTTTTGGTTAATTTAAATCTAAACTCTCTCATTCTTTTCACACACACACACACGTGACTATTATTCTACTCATGAAATTTCTGATCGTTTACTTGAGTTTCAGTTACGCTTACATCTAATGTATATTTTTAATTTCTCTTATGTATTTGTTCTCTTGGTTTCTCTAAGAGAGAGAAATATAAGTATAATGCGAGCTGTAACAGCAAAAGAAATATAGTACATTTCACATCTAGGGAGGAAAAGTAGACTATCTTAAACCACGTGTTTACCACCCTCACCTTCCTTTCGGGTTATAATTTTACACGTGGTTTGAGCTAGTCTACTTTTTCTCTCTAGAGCTGAATGTGAATTTCCGTCATACCTGTGTGGAAAGTTTAACCCTTCTCTAATCGAAAAGTAAATTTTCCGCGCAGGTATGACGAAAAATATATAACAAAAATGAATCACGAAAGTGGAGAAAAACTTAACTATAATGAATCCGGTAAGAATCACTTTATAGAGTGTTTTAGTTTTATAGTTAATTCAAAGAGCAATAAATAATTTTATTAATTAATCATAAATCTTTTATTGAATTTGTTTCATCAGATAAATCTTGAAATTCTAGATTAAATTTGTTAAGAGAAAAGAACATGGGGAGATGGTTTTATTAGTGTGAGCTATGATGTAGCAGTTCTATCACCTATACTAAGCCAGATAATCGTCATTGAGTATTTTATCAACTATAATAGAATTGTTAGATATTCAGAGATTAAATATGGATAGGAGTCGTTCGTAGAACAAAACAGAGTGTCACTTTATGTAGACACATAAGTCAATAAGATGTGAGTACATAAATGAGTACTCACATCTTGAAACATTCCAATACTTATTGATGTCGATTTCTATCAAGAACAATTTATTTGTGTTTAACAGGAAAAAATTGCATTCATTTATACTCAACCATAAAAATAACCATAATAGATACAAACTAAATAAATTTCATTTTATTTACTTACTCTTGTATAAATTAAAGAACGAAAAAGTTTAAAAATTGACAACTTTTTAGAAGATTTATGTTACAATCAAATAAATTCAAAATGCATGACTATTTTTCGTTCTGACTTTGTGAAATTAACATAAAAACTCTCTCTTCAAATATTATCATACTTTAAAACGATACAAAATGAGTAGTATTCTTCATTTTAATGTATATTATACAAGAAATATAAATAGAATCTGTAGTTCGTTCATAAGACAAAGAAAATATTTTCTTTTTTTACCTTTTCTTTGTATTTACGAATAAAAAATTCACCTTTTACGATATAAAATTTATATTCCACGCCCTTTCGTTTTTTCTTCTGTGTAATTAGGGAGCCTCACATGTGAAAGAAAAAATATAACCTATTGAATATTTTACATTGTCGATAATGATAGATTATGATGTGAATAAGCAGATGGATTTCTTAACGCATGCATTTCGTTTTCCTTACAATCTTTTCAACTTTATTTTGAAACTTTAGAAGAACAAGATACATACTATATAAAAATTTGGTTAAAACTGATAATTTTTCATCAATATGCTTATAACCCCAGAAGCTGCTCTAAAATTCACAAAGACAAGTGTTTATTTGGTATGTTCTTGGCCATTATCAGTAGCAGCTAGTAAACGTGATCAAATTTTAATGAAAATACGGTGGTGGATAGTATTAATATTCCTCTTATTCCTACTTTTACCATTATTGAATGGTATTTATTCTTATCATCATGATACATTGATAATGGTTAAAGCTATTTGTATGTCCAGTGCTTGCGGTCAAGCCATTTTAAAAATAATTACTTGTCGAAAACAAACTTCAAGATTTCAGGTAAGCACACAATATTATATAAATTATTAATTATTACTCAAGTATTCAATCTTTTATATGATGCATTATTTTACATCTCTACTCTTCTTCTAGTTCTATGACAATGTTTAAATTTTTTAATTTCAAAAATTTTTCATCTTTCTTCTTTAAAAACAATTATTATAAAAACAATTTTATTTGTATAGATATTACTTCAGGAAATAGAAGACTTTATGAAAAATGCCAATCTACGAGAAAAAGAATATTTAAAAAAATACATAAACAGAGCAGCTTTTTTTCATATTTTTGTAACAATAAGTATTTGGTTGGTTTGTTTCGATTTTATAATTGAACCAATTATATTAGGACAAAAGTTCCCAACTGACGTTGCGTATCCATTTTCAATTGATAATCAGTACTTACATATTAGTCTTTATCTTCACCAAGTGATATCTTTATTTTTTATCGCAGCTGCTCTTTCAATTGACTTCCAAGTAGCGATTCTGCTTTGGTTTACTGCTTTGAAATTAGAAACACTCGGCTATTATTTTGAAAATGTGTCTAATGAGAAAGAGCTGAGATACTGTATCAGAAAACATCAGCATATGCTTTGGTATATTATATCGATATCGTTCACACTAAATTTTCAATTAACTGAAACTAATGTATCAATAATAATAATCAATAATAATCATGATAGTTGTTAAAATTCTTAAATTATCTTTCAGGTACGCCAATCAAGTAAAAAATGCCGTAAAATACGTTGCTCTAAGTACTGTGTTAACAACAACAATAGGAATTGTTTGTGGATGTTTAACATTAATAAGCGTAAGTTTTAGAGTGAAAATTATGGTATATAAAGGTAAATAAATAATTTAATAATATCATTTATAATTATATAAAATTTTGAAAAGTTGTTCAATTTTTCAAATAAAAAATTCGGCTTTATCTTCTCGTTTTATGATCTTTAAATTCAACTCGTGGTTTCTAAAAAGATATCTGAGTGTGTGTGTACGTATGTTCATTAAGTTGTTTTTTATGTTGAATATCTTAGAAACTAATAACGATATCAACTTTGGGCCAATTTCATTCAAAGCGTAATTTTATAATTAACACTTGATGAAGTTTTGACTCAATTCGATAAAGTGTTTTTTTTAATCAGAATTTTGCATTCACTCAACATTTTTAAGAAAATTTATTCAAATTATACTTATGTGATAAGTTATAATTAGTAATTAAGTAGAATCTCTTTATTATAGCATCAGCCACTTTCAGTGAAATTACGTGTGGGGAATATTGTAATAAATGCCGCTGTTGAGTTATTCATTTATGCTTGGCCTGCAAATAACCTAATTCAAATGGTTAATATCAATATTTTGGTTTGACGTTGTACTTTACTTTTAGCAAATTAAGCTTATACAGCAACTTAATTTTTCACATTATTTTTTTATTAGAGCCAAATTATTAGTTCAAATGTTTATCATTGTAATTGGTATGGAAAATCGACGAAAATGATGAAAACAGTTTCATATGTAATTCAAAGATCACAAAAACCCATAACTATTTACATCAGTGGATTTATTCCCGATATTTCATTACAATATTACACATCGGTGAGAATTAATATATATTTTGTTTACATACTTAGAAATGCGTTAAAAGTGACTAAAATGTTAATTAAATGGGTGACGTCATATTTAACACACTTATCCGCATTAAAATAATGCATTTTGGGAAACTGGGATTTACGGTGTACAAATCGGAAAATAAACTTTATGTTTCTGCAAATGTTACTTATTTATGTTTATAATTTTTATCAAATATTTATTGAAAAAATTATTTATTTACAGTTTTTGTCTACAACTTTTTCGTATTTCACTACAATGAGGATTCTTCTTTCAAAAGAATAAAATGTTAAAAGACAATGAATCTTGAAATAAATAAAAAATGATGAATTATGGAAATATGTTTCTAATATTGTGATAAGTGTATAGAGTATTATAAAAAATAGTTTTAAAATTAGACTTGAAATAAATGTAATCGTTACTTTTTTTTACTTAAAGTTTAAAAATGTTTTTTTCAATTCATCCGTAAAATAAAACCGTAACATTGTTATGAATACTATGTAATTCGGATATTATCATAGAGTATATTTTTGAAAGCACACATATACAGACTATTGTATGCTTCAATGAAGTTGATATACATAGTAATCTGAGGAAATAATGTAGATCAAATTCATCATAAAATTGGGGTGGAATACTTAAAAATTCAAATATCCGTTTGAAAATCAACATTAACAGAATAAACTGAACTTAGACCGCAGCAATGATGATACCTGGATGTCTGATCCTTCAAATTGTAATATCAATTTTTCTTTCATTTCATAATTTTTTTTGGTATTAATTTAGATACTGATGATTTTATAACTTCAAACGAGTAAATATTTACTTTTAAAGTGACTTTTAATGATTTTCACCAATTTATTATGAGAGAATATGAATGATTATTTTATAAAAAGAATGAAATAAAAGACCACTCTCAGCATAAAGTAAATATGTATTCACGACTTGAATAAAAAATACTTTATCAAAAAAAGCTGTTCAAAGTTAACACTTTTCCTCTGTTTTCAAGGAAAAAAGTGGCGGATTTTGTTCGGTTCTGACAGACTGCCGTAGAAAGTCTGTTTCAGAACCGAACTTACAGTTAACTCACAGCAAATTTTTACCTGCACCTTTGGCTCTAGTGGCAATTGAACATTCAGAAAAACTTTATTTCATTTTTTCACTTAAAAAATTGCTGTTGATTTTCTTTCCTTTTAAAAAGAAAAAAAATATTTCATTTTTAACGACCGTTATCAAATAGTTACCGATATCAAATTATACTGGCTATTTTATTGCAATAAGACTTAGTACAAATGTCTGTATATGGGTTAATTGTGCTTGCATTATTCAAATATAACTTTTTTAATCTATGTATAACTCAAAATCGTTCGCCAGTACATTTAAGCCATTGAAGGCCAATTTAGTTGTTCACATGATTCATCATTATTTCAAGATAAATTTAAGCATCTTTACACGAAATAAAAGATAAAAGACAAGTAAAAAAAATGAAATACAACGTATATTGAACCAGTGTACTGATTGATATTAAAGTATATTAAGTACATCGATAATAGCACTTGTATAAAGTGTACAATATTCTTTGTATAAAATAATATTCAATATGTAAGTTTATATGCAAGGATGATTAAAATAATTATCAACTGAATTTTTAAAAGCTTTAATGTTACAGAAAATGATCCAGCTCAACAATACTTGTTATCATAAATGCATGGATCGATCAAGAACAGATAATGATGGATAAATGAGTCAAATTATACCCTTTCTAATGTGAATACATAAGTAACAGGGGTATGAAATTGATTCCTAGTAGAACTTAGAAAACAGTAATATACCGGCAGTTAAAATCATAAAATGCTAGAGATAACACCTGAGTTTGCATTAAATTATGTTAAATATGGCTCAATATTGGTAGGATCGTGGCCTCCAAAAAGCGATACATCTAAATCAGTGAAAATCATTTTCAATTTATGGTGGTGGATTTCTTTAGCAAATTTAATTCTTATCATCATACCACTTTTATACTCGTCCTTTGATTTAAAAAATGATCCACTGAACTCATTGAAATTTTTGTTTTTAGCTCTTAACGCTATTCAATGTGCTATAAAAATGATTATATGTAAAAGTGAATATTATTCATTTCGGGTATTACAATTATTACCATTTTTTATTTATAATGTTATAGAATAAATTTTTTTAGTTAACATTATAATATTTTATTATCTTCAATAACTTGAATTATCATTCAATGATTGGTTTTTTCAGTTTTTATTGGAGGAACTACAAATGTGTGTGAACAATTCAAAGCCCCATGAAAAACAGATATATTCGAACTACATAAAAAATCATGGAATCATATATATTCTGATAATGATGGGTGCCGTTGTTGCAGCTACTTCTATTGTTTCGGGAGCTTTGTATCAACCTCAATTACTTCCAATTGATGCCAAATATCCATTTAGGATTAACTTTCATCCAGTGGTTGATATTATTTATTTTTTACAAATTTTAAATGGATTCCAAGTTGGCAGTATTACTGTCATTGATACCCAAGTTGCTCTATTGTTGTGGTTTTCGGTTGCTCGACTGGATATTCTTAGTAATGAAATAAAAACTGCCAAAAATATTCTGCAACTCCGAGCATGTATTCAAAAACATCAATATTTGTTATGGTATAGCGTAATTCTTTTATTAAAATTCATTATTTGTATAGTTTTTTTTTATCAATTTAACTTTTAATTAAAAGTTAAATTGATATTAAAAATCGCTTAAGCGATTACAAGTTGATTAAATTTAAGGCTCATTGAGGAAATAATTAGAACCACTCGATTAATCATTCTAACTACAGTCATTATGTGTATGATGTCTATCATTCTTGGGAGTACCCATATTTTAGGAGTAAGTTTAATATTTTTATTTGATTATTAAAAAATAAAATAGTATTTAAAATAAAATGTTATCGTTCTTGTTACAGAATGATTTAATTGTAAAATTACAATGCATTTCTACTGCTTTAGTGCTTACTTTTATATTGTATATGAATGCTTATCCAGCAGAATTTTTGATTCACGCAGTATGTACAAATGCATACAATCATAAGATGCATAATTCTATCATTAAAAAATTATGTTCCACTAGTGTGAAAGTATTGGATGGTCAGCTTGGTCAGCTTTTGATTTATCTGAAAGTGAAAAATCGTCGGAATTCAATAGGAATTTAATTTTTATTATTCAAAAGTCTCAAAAACCATCACTAATTAAATTTCGAGGAATTTTGCCCGGCCTTTCATTAACATACTACAGAGCGGTGAGATAATTATTACTGAAATTTCAGAAAATTTAAATTTTTAACTTTAAAATCATTTTATGAATACGCACATTGTTTTAATAATTTTTTAGTTTTTAGCAAAAACTTTTTCATTTTTTACAACTTTAAGAGTATTTCTTAATAATATTGAAGATGATTTGAACATGTAAATACTTCACCGATTTTTACAAATAAAATCAGTGTTTTTTTCATTCGTTTAAGAATATTTTTAATTAATTTCTAATAATTACCATTATCGACTGAAGATGATTCTTAGTAGCCATCAAGTACAGATCAGAAACAGATTATCATAAACTGATATAAGTTGGACATAACTGTCTGGATTACGATACAGTAGTCTGTCCCCGATTTGCACCTCGGGGCTACTAGGGATGAATTATACATAGTTCAACTGTAAAAATCATCTTTCTCAATCATAGTGATTCTACCACACAATATAAGTACTTCAAAAGATACAAAACAATAATTATTACTATTTTTCAACATGTGTAAAAATTCTTGGATTTTTATTTGATATTTTTTGTATTAGTATTTTACTTATTTTTTAGTATGAAGATATGTTAGTTAATAATTGGGCGTTAAATATTAAAACTTTACCATTAAAAATCAACACATGTAATAGACAATATAATTATCAAAAGAGATTTTCTTAAACTGTTAGTTAAGTAAGAAAAAGTCTTCATGAAAAAATGGAAAGATCTTAGTCTTAAGTTAAAATGAATAAATTAAATTCAAAATTAAAACATCAGTGCTCTTTGGTGGTCTCAGTGCACCCGGGAAGCTCACACGACTAACTACCCAGTGGGGAGGGTGAAAAAATTTTCTTGTTTTTAAAATCAATTGGTTCGTTAATCGAGCACACAGATGTCTACTTAAAAACTGTTGTATTCGACTCTAGGGACCATGAAACATGGAGATATGTCAAAATTCAAGATTCGCAAAATTGAGCCCATTAAATAATCCATATCGTGAATTAATCAATCACTAGTATGTTGACGTACCAAGTAAAGTCACTGAAGTCTATGCATTACTTATTTTACAAATTTTTCAGTATTTTCTTATTGAAAGATAACAGAGTGATCGAAAAAATGATTAATGATTGGATACGAGCTTTATCTTCACAACTGAAGGTAAGACTGTATTCAATAAAACTCTAAAAATGTTAAACTGAACATTAATATATAATTCTTTTTAGGAAAAAGAAGAATATGAACCAGTAGATTTTCTTTAAGCAGTTCCACTCGTTTGCTTCTTTTGGGAAAGTTACATTCCGAGTATTGTATGTCTTCACTGTAAATTTTAGAGTTTTACTTTAAAACATTTAAAGTGTTTTAATATGACGTCACCCATTTGATTAACATTGTCTCGATTTTAAAACGTTTTTAAGTGTTTTAAAATAAAACACTAAAATTTACAGTGTTGAGTGTGGAATACTTACTTATAGAATATTGTCAGAATATAAACATCAAGAGATGCGAATTATGAGACAAATTAATCTCTCAACATTTTTAGAGGTAGCACCGAAAGATGAAATTGATTTTAAACCGAGTTCAATAATAAATGCATAAAATTCAATCTTTGTTAATATCTAAAAAAATCTCATTGAATGCAAGGTAGGTTAATTTTAATCGAATATTAATTTTAAAATAAGTAATTTTTTCATTGCATTTTCAATAATTAATATTTGATTGGAAATAAAAAATACATACGATTCTAGGACTGCCTTGGTATTTATGAATAATAATAAAATATTACCCTTATTAATCCACTACGCATATACTACGGAAAAGCTTCAATTTATATCTTACAACCTTGCATTATTATATTATATATAAGAAAGACTATAAAGCACTGATACTAATTGTTACAAAACCACTTGTTCTAGCTAGTGTAGTTACTCGTATTTTACGATATCTATTCAAAATTTAAAATTCAATAGTGTTGAATCAAACGCATGAGAAAATAGCACTTGTGCTTCAACAAATTCTTCCTGGTTATTTGTATATTTATTACTCATTAAATCATTATAAATGAATCATCCTATATCCCAAGATAGCCGATTATTTCACAAACAGTTCTCTCAGACAATTATTTTAATCATTCACTGTTGATATGGAACAGTTAAATAGAAAACATAGACGATTCATAGTTACTCCAGAAAAAGCTATTAAGTTAACTCAAGCTACAGTATATCTAACATGTATTCAGTTTCCTCTACCGAATGCCAAGAAACAATATTTTATTCTTTATAGTGTTTTTCTTTATACGTCATTATTTCTCGCTATTACTCTTGCATTTTTACTCATTATCTCAATAAAAAAATTTCGTGATAATATTTTTATTGTTATAAAATCATCAATTCTTACTGCTGCTATTTTTAATTATTTAGTTAAAACTATTGCTATTGTTTTGTATCGTCAACAATTCCAGGTATGCATCAATATGTCATAACATTGTCATTGATTGATTTCAAGAGGGTGAAATAGTACATTGTTAACGAAAGAAACAAAGTATGATACTCTGACGCACGTGTAAAACTACCGCCTAAGTCGAGGGTTAAATGTCTTACTTTGCTTCATTGGTTGTCATATCTACTATTTTATAGAATATGATCGCCGAAAATGGTAGTTTGTTCTCAGTTTTGAAGTTTAATCGGAATAATGACGTTTTCTCTTTTATGTGGAATAAAACATTTATCTTCCCTAGTAACCATCCCTGACATAAGAATTTTCGTCAGACTTACGCCGTTTGTTTTCATTCTGCATCAGATTGCCATCCACTTGCTTATGTTAAATTTTTTGACGATAATCTTACGTCCATCTGCTTCAGAAAAACAGCAGAAATATATGTAAATGACCAATAAAGGAAAAAATATCCAGACCTGATGTTATTCTTACGTTAGTTTGGTTACTAGGGTTGTTTTGCAACTCAAAAACAAAGAGCAAACTTCAACTTTGAGCGACGATATGACAAAATATTAATATTTTGTGAATTAATAATTGAAAAAGTTGATGTGCTACATGGATAAATTTTTAAACTTTTTAAAAACTTGAAAACGGATTGACTAGATTGTAGCTATATGGATTATATTTTTAATTTTAGAACATCAAATTCAACATGGAACATTTTTTGAACTCAGCAAAAGTCATGGAAAGAAGTCATTTTCAGTTATATATCAAAAAATTTTGGAAGTTTCATGCTTTTATGACATGCAGTTATTATCTTACGACAGTTGGAGTGCTTATCGGACCATTAATTTTACCTCAAAAATTTCCAACTGATGCTGTTTATCCCTTCCCTGTTGAGCATCCAATAGTTAAATGTCTTGTTTATCTTCATCAATGTATTGTTGGTTTTCAATGTTCAGCAGGAATGGCTTTGGATTGTCAAATTGCTCTATTTTTATGGTATTTAGGAGCCAGATATGAAATATTGGCTTCCAAAGGTAAAAATATAACAAGTATCAAAAGTTTTCATGCTTTCATTGAAGAACATCAAGATTTACTGTCATGTACAAACGAAATTATTCATCCAATTAAAGTCATTACACTGGCAACCGTTATTTCAACTCGAATTGGAATGATATTCGGTGGCATTGTACTTGTTTCGGTAAAAATTTTTTACAATTTCTTTTTAGAGAGTAAATATTTTCTTTATTTAGTTTACTTAGTTCACCCACATTTAATTAAAGTAAGTTTATTACAGGATCAACTTTTGGCAGTGAAAATACAATTTTTAATCATAATTATTAGCACAACTGTAAACATTTTCGTATGTGTTTGGGCAGCAGATAATTTAATGAATGTTGTAAGAACATAAATTCTTCAATAATTTGATTGGAATATAACTTTGTAAAATTCTTTAATTTATTGATGATTTTATTTAATAGTCAAGTACTTTGATGTCAGATAAAATATTCGAAACATGTTTTTATCAAACACCAATCATGAGGACAAAATGGTGTTTTATAATTCAAAGAACACAAAAACCAGTTATTATTAAAGTTTCTGGCATCTTCAATGCACTGTCTTACGAATTTTATTCAACGGTATTTAAATAATTTACTTTGAAAAAACCTCTAAACTTTATAATATTTATATAAATAAAGTTTTTCACTGAATTTGATTTATTCTACAAATTATTTATGGTGTAATAAACTTTATTTGCAGTTCCTCTCGACAGCATTTTCCTATTTTACTGCGCTGCGTGTGTTAGTAAAGTCTTAGAATAATTATCATAATAATCCAGTTATTTTTGAATGCAACGTTTAAAGTTATTTTTCAAAATGAATTCGAGGTAAAAATCTTCGCAGAATGAAGTATTAACATCTAAGATGACTTGTAATTTTTTCAGCACTCTTTACAATAAACAATATAAATTGGAGTATTATTATTTTGTGAACAGATTTTAACTACTCCTACTTGAATATTTCGATTGAAACTAATAGAAGATTTTTATTCAAGTGTAGTTTTAGCACATTTTGATTAAAGTGAATAAGTGCAATTAGAACACCGTGTGGTCTTCATTAGAGCTTCAATTCAAATGAATACGTTTTTAAAAGTAGAAAAGTTTTTTTTATTTCACCATGTTCAACAAAATGTTTACCACAACACTTCCATATTTACCAAGTTTATTCCAATTTTTACATAAGATATGCAGTGTCTTCATTAGATATTTGTAGATCTTACCAAATTGAATAATACTGACTCATATATGACACTGATTTAACTTGAATCATTTATGTTTTATCATATTTAATCAACTGTGATGTGCCAATTATAAAAAGGTTAAGAGCATTTTTACTTATTTGTTGTTTTCTAAAGCTTGAGAGTTTATTACTCAAACTAGGCCCATTTTTTTCGCGGTTGTTAAGATACTGTTTAGCAATGTGGCTTGTTGGCTGCGAGTGATTCATATGAAACATTTTAACAAGTCTTAACGTACTTGGATACGTAAACCAGTTAAAATTATCGTAGTTGAATTTGATGATCTCAGCAAGTATAATAAATTAATATTGATTTAACTAAAACGTGTCAGCAAAAACTGATAATATGATTGTAACGATTAGGAGCTGTTTCAGGCTTTGAAAATCAGACCGATGGACCAAATTTGATATCGAGATTAGATTTTTGATAGATTTATCTTCTTACATTTTATAAATCTTCTCCTTTATCAAAAGTAAATCATTTTTTGTATTGTTGAAAACCAATGATACTTTCGTTAATATAGAATATAAATTTTGAGTTTATATTAATGTGTATCACTTATTAAATACAAAAATATTTACTAATAATTCCTTGTTATATATGATTTAATGAAAATCATTGGTCAAAAGATAATACCTTTAAGATTTCTGTTGAAAATCTGACAAATTGATCAGATGAAATATTTATAAATATATTTATTTGTATGAACGCTGTTTCGAAAATGGATTGTTAAAGCAGGAAAAATTCAATCAATAATAATACTAAGAAAAATAAAAATCATCGTGCTTTAGAGAAATCTAACGTTAACTTTGAATGTTAATTCCTACTTTAAAGTAACACTTTGAAGAAAGTATAATAAACTCACCTCATGAAATTATAGATTTAAATGCATGAGAAAGTAACATTTGTACTTATAGGTATGAACCCTTTCCATTTATCCTCGCGTCTATTTTCCATCGAATCATTACAAATGCACCACAGCTTATATCTTTAAAAAATAGTCTAGTTAGAACAGTACGCATAATAACAGTCATGGATGATTGTAACTACTTGCAGTTAATATGAAACAATCAACTAAAGAGTGTAGGGGCTTTACAGTCACTACTGAAAAGATTGTGAAATTTACCAGAACTACGGTATATCTAACTTGTATCTGGTCACCATTACCCAGTGCTAAACAGCAATATATTATTTGTTATAATATATTTCTTTATGTATCAATATTTCTTGCATTTGCTCTTTTATTTTCTCTTATTGCTTCTGTCGTAAAATTCGTACATGATGCGTTTATTGTTCTAAAATCAGTCATTCTTATTATTGGGATATGCAACTATTTGTTCAAAGTTATTGCAGTGACAATTCATCAAAAAACATTGCAGGTTTGTAAATAGATTTGTTATTCAGTTTGCTAGTAATTTACAGAACTAAAAAAACTAACAAAAGAATTTATGTTATTTATTTCACGTTTCAGAGATTTGAGTTGAGCTTTGGGGAGTTTCTAAAAACAGCAAGTGATATAGAGCGGGAACATTTACAATTAAATGTCAATAAATGTTGGAAATTTCAAGCTTTTATGACAAGTAGTTATTACCTTACAACAGCAGGAGTGCTTATCGGACCATTAATTTTACCTCAAAAATTTCCAACTGATGCTGTTTATCCCTTCCCTGTTGAGCATCCAATAGTTAAATGTCTTGTTTATCTTCATCAATGTATTGTTGGTTTTCAATGTTCAGCAGGAATGGCCTTGGATTGTCAAATTGCTCTATTTTTATGGTATTTAGGAGCCAGATATGAGGTATTGGCTAGAAAGAGCAGAAATGTGATTAACACTGAAGACATACGCAATTTTGTTAAATATCATCAAAACTTACTTGATTATGCAAAAGAAATTACTAATCCCATAAAGGCCATCACTTTTATCACAGTTGTGATGTCTAGAATTGGAATGATTTTGGGTGCTCTTATGCTTGTATCGGTATTTTATTGTTTTTTTTTTTTATTTTTACTTTCACTACTAATTCAAGTGTTTAGAAATTACATAAATACTCAGAGTGTTATAATGTTAAGTGCCATAAATAATCTATGGCGTCTTTATAGACAAATTTGAAACATTTTTAGGTGCTTACCAAAGTGCTATAGATTGTTTATGATGGTCAACATTGTAAACATTTAGGTGTATTAATTCTTAACTTCCCAGCGGGAAGTTCTAATAATAGGTGCAATTTTGCAAATCTTGAATTTCAACGTATCTGCACATTTCAAGGTCCCCAGAGTCGAACACAATAGTTTTCAAGTGGGCGTCTGTGTGTGTATGTACGCATGTGCATGAGTTCGTACGTGCGTTCGGAATTTTTTTTCAAAAATGATATCGACATGGGACCATTTTCCATGCATAATTATGCAAAATCAGTCCAGCCATTTTTTATGCAGAATCAAAGGACTGAAAAAACGGTAAACTAGCTAAATCTTATCATTCTTTCTACTGGGAAGTTGGTCGTTCGAACCTTTCGGGTCGCACTCAGATCACTGCAGAGCATTGATATTTGAAAATTGCAATCGTTCTATAAGTAAACACTTGAATTTTCGTAGATTTGCAGTGACTCTTGAATAATAAAATTAATGAAAATCATGTGACTAATAGGATCAGCCTGTAATAGCAAAGGTTCAGTTTTTAATTGTAGTTATCAGCACAACTGCAAATATCTTCGTATGTGTCAGAGCTGCCGATTACTTAATTACTGTTGTAAGATCATATTTTCTAACATGACTTTGATCAACATTATCAGTAATCAGATTAAATTTTAACTCTATTACCACATAGTCTAGTCGCTTGTTATCAGAAAAAATCTTTGAAACATGCTGTTATCAATCTCCACGACTGCGAAATGAGTGGCGGTTTATCATCTTGCGCTCTCAGAAGCCAATTGTGATTAAAATTACTGGTGTCTTTGATTCTTTATCTTATGAATTTTATTCAACGGTATTTACTATAAATAAATGATTTAACAAAATGTATTTTTTATCCATGAAATAACAAATTTTTATTTTTTACAGTTTTTATCAACAGCATTCTCGTATTTCACTGCACTACGTGTGATTGTTAATACTTAAAAGTTAATAAATCATCAATAAAATCTTAAACTTCTTTAGAATTATCATTGTTCTTTTATTAGAACCTTCAGCTTCCAGGTAATTTTGATAAGTTATGCAGTACACACATTTAAATAAGTTATATATACGAATAAAATCATTCACTATTAATTTCAGATTAAGTATTCACTTCATTCCTTGGCATTTTTTAAAATTTAATCATATACATAATATACATTTTTTAATGATATTACTCTCATGCTTTACATATGCATAATATAATTTTTATAATATTATAAAAATTAAATCATTATACCAATCATTTTTACATTGCCATCATGATAATAATATTCCTACTCTTCTATTACCTTGGTGCGCCTATTTGATCAGTTCCTGATTAAGATACAGTACGGAATTTTTCAGTCTATGGGTGATATTTCCAGCCTATAGTCAAAAGTTATCAAATAATAAATTTTACAATAATTCACAGAAATCGTGTGCATGTTTTAAAATATTATATATTATATGTTTCATAATATTAACCTTGATTAATTAATCAAGACTAATATTTTGTATGAAAATAAAAATGATAATAATAATAATTTTTTATAAAAATATTTAAATCAATTAAAAAATGTATTACTGAGTATTCAAGTAAATATATTATTGGTATTCGTGTTTTAAAAAAACTATTACACATGTATCTATTGATGTATACGTAATTGTTAGAACTTATTTAATCAGTTGACAGCCGAGCTGGTAAAGGCACTGGTTTAATTTGCGCAAAGTATAATGGTCGTGAAGGCTCGAATCCCTCTGAGTATCATTAATTAATATTTCTCACGTAATGATCATAAAAAATCATTATCCAAGTATTCTTTGTGTTTAACTAAAAAAAATTGTAATCAGGATCTGATAAAATCACCTAATCCGTACTGGATTTAGTTGACGGATTCGATCCATTTTATATGAGGTGTGACGTTTATTATCGTATCCGGATCCTGATCAAACTACAGGTAATTTTGATCCGGATCGGATCCCGAACGAAACTAATTTCTAGTCGGGCACAAAGCAATACGTATCTAGAATTGGGTTATTCAAACTATGATCTTACTATTCAAAAATTTTTGATTTATTTATTATTATGTAACGTAGTCATACACATTACACGGACGAATTCGCGGGAACCAACTAGTTTACACTGAGCATGATGCAAAAAGGTATTCCATGTTATTAGATTTTAAATATAATGCAATTAAAATGAAACATCTGATGATAATCTTATATGAAAACTCTCATGTTGTAATGATACTGTGAAAAATTCGTTATAAATTCAAATAATAATACATATCACAAATTAAAATAGATGAGAAAATAACAGTTGCATACATATAAACCCTTCTCACTTATCTCAGAGTTTTCCTTTCATCGAATCATTATAAATGCACCGCAACTTATATCTCCCAGAAACAGCTTTGTTAGAAATGATACATAAGGTAGTGGTAGATAATTATTTTAATCACTTGCTATCGATATGGAACAATTTAGTAACAAATATAGAGCTTTTATAGTTACCCCTGAAAGAGCTATCAAGTTTACCAAAGTCACAGTGTTTCTAACGTGTATCTGGTCTCCATTACTTGATTCTAAAAAAGTGTATTTTATTCTTTATAAAATATTTTTTTATACTTCCATATTGTTAGCGATTGGTCTTTTGTTTCCATTGATTGTTTCAATTCAAATAAATAATAATAATACTTTTGTAATTATCAAATCTTCAATTCTTATTTCTGGTATAATTAATTTTTTAATCAAGGTTATAGCAGTTACAATTTATCATGATAAAATTCAGGTAAGTGTCTAAATATGATCTAGAGAATTTATAGGTAAATTTGTATTCAAATAGAATCATTTTAAAGTTTTTATATTTTTCAGAAATTTGATCAACACATGCAAAATTTTATCAAAATAGCAAATAATTTCGAAAGTAATTGCCTTCAAAAATATGTAAATAAATGTTGGAAGTTTCATGCTTTTATGACATGCAGTTATTATCTTACGACAGTTGGAGTGCTGATTGGTCCATTAATTTTACCTCAAAAATTTCCAACTGATGCTGTATATCCCTTTCCTGTTGAGCATCCAATAGTTAAATGTCTTGTTTATCTTCATCAATGTATTGTTGGTTTTCAATGTTCAGCAGGAATGGCCTTGGATTGTCAAGCTGCATTATTTCTATGGTATTTAGGAGCCAGATATGAAATGCTGTCTTTAAAGTGTGAAGATGTTATAAGTGCTAAAGACTTACAAGTATTTATTCAAAATCACCAAAAACTTTATCAACATGGCCAAGACATTATTTATTCTATTCGAATAATTGCTCTAACTACAATTATTATGACTCGAGTTGGAATGATTTTTGGTGCTATCATGCTAATAACGGTAACATTATTCTATATCCAATATCTATTTGTCTTCTTAAAATTTCGTTTAAACACTTAATAATTATTTGTAAAAGTACATCAATATAAATTAATGATTCAAAAATAAAATATAGGATCAAGTTCTGATGATAAAAATTCAGTTTTTGATATTGGTCATGAGTGCAACTGTCAACATTTTCGTATGTGTATGGGCTGCTGATAATTTAATAAATGTTGTAAGAACTTTTTCTATACTAAGAGTTACTTGTAATTATAATTAAATGAATAATAACAAATGTTTCTTATTAAATTATTTTATTCAATAGGCTAGTCGTATGCTACCAGAAAAAATATTTGAGTCATGTTGTTATCAGTCGCCAAAAATGAGAAAATGTTGGAGCTTTGTCATTATGAGAGCACACAAGCCAATTGTAATTAAAGTTTCTGGAATTTTTAATGCTCTATCCTACGAATTTTATTCAGCGGTATATATGTTATCTATTAATCATTTTCGAATTAATAATCTAAAAATATATCCGATTTTTTACCCGAGGCTTGGCTTGAGTGAAGACTTGCCGTTATTGGGGTCCGGTAATGAAAAAGTATCGCAATAATCTTAGACTAGAAATTTCTAGCAATTATTACACGGTTGGGTTGAATGCACCTGAAAAGCGTGATGGGTCTCCACTAGGTCAAGCCGAGGGCACAGATCTTAAACACTTCTTTCAATCAATCCTTCACCTCAAAATAATTTGATGAAGCAAATTTAGTCATGAGAACACTTGAATTTTTAATAAACTACGGATAATTTGTTTATTAATGAATGAATCAATTCATCAATCGCAAACATTTAATTAATAATAACATTATTAAAAGTCGATATCTTTTGTTTATTAGAGTTTTAGAAATCATCATGAGATTGTTATAAATTTGCATAAAATTTCTAAGAAAATGTTACAATTTATTGAACGCTCATCAAAAATTTTTTCTTCATTCATGAAATGAAGATTAACATCAAATAAAATTATGAAATGAACTTTTAAATGTTAAAAAATTTTATTTGCAGTTCCTTTCAACAGCATTTTCATACTTCACTGCATTACGTGTACTTGTCAGCTCTTAAAATGCAACAAGCAGTAATGAGAGTATTTTACCGTAGTGGAACACTTTCAGACTTTGTAAGTCATAATTGTTAAGATTATAAAAATAAAAAATATGAAGAGAACATTTAAAAATTTTCGTCGAAAAACGTTCTATTTTAGATAGTCAAAAAAATTAAATTAAAGTTATACCTTTCATTTCGGCTGTTATTCATGAATATTAGCATTTAGCATAATAATAGAATAAAAATGGAAGTTGTAGTAATAATCATTGTAGTAATAATTAATTGTACTGACAATCTGCTTTAATTATTTTACTGTATCTAAAAGAGACTTCCAACTCTTAGAATAGAACATTCTAGTGATATGAAGTATTAATAACGAAACACTGTAAGTGATGGTAGTGAACATTATCCCTCCGATATCTTTCTAATAGCTTCTAAGTAATAATCGTTAGAATAACATAGCAATTTCAATTAAGGTGAATAATAAATCATCATAGTAGTATGTTACGATAATGATAGGCGTGGCTTTTCATTATAGAACAGTGCGAAACGTCTGATACTGATAATCTTTAGTTAGTTGAATTGAAGCTTAATTACTGCGATACTCTAGAGCTTTTTAAATTTTTAATTACATTGATGGAGTATTATATACTTCTCTATATTCCAATAGATTCTACAAATAGTTTTATAAAATGAATGTTACACCAGAGTTTGCTATACGTTTTATTAAAATAATTGGGAAATTAACTTGCACTTGGCCGATTGATCCAAATTTAAAATCATTTAGTAACAAAATTAAAGAATTATTTTGGTTTATTTCATTTTTAAATGTTATTGGGCTTTTATTACCGCTTATATTAGGAGTTCATCATTACTTGAAAGAGGATTCTACTTTGATGATGAAATCCATGTCTGAATTAACAGCTTTGGGAGATGTTTTCTTCAACCTTATTTTATGTAAAGTAAAACATATTGAGTTTCATGTAAGTAAGTAGATTTTCATACAAGTACAGTTATTATTATGACCAATTTTCAGTTTAATAATTTTAGTTTAATTTGCTTCAGGACCTTTTAGCTGAACTATTAAGCTATGTACACTCAGTGAGAGGGGACGAGAGGATATTTTTCCAAAAAAGTATCAATCGCTATTCTATGTTTTGGGCCTTTGTAGGTTTATCCTATTTTCAAACAGCAATAGCATTTTCCTGTGGTCCATTTTTCATGAAACAAATCTTACCTGCTGATACATGGTATCCATTTACTGCAGAAATTTTCAGTGTCAGATATTATATCATTTATGCACAGCAAGTTCTTGCAATTCTCCAAACTGGAATGTGTATTACTGTTGATTTTATGGTTGCTATGCTACTTTGTTATTCATCTACAAAACTCGAAATTTTAAATTTAGAATTAAAGACTGTTGAGACATTAAAACAACTTAATACTTGTATTTGGAAACATCAGAATTGTATTCGGTAAAAATATTTAAATACAAAGAAATACAAAGTAATGGAAGATTGTTTAGATAATTTTAATGACAGGAGAATTTTCTGTAGATTTGTTGAAAAATTAACTAATGCAGTTCGGTTCATTATTTTAAAAAGTAATGTAACAATGGCAATGGCTGTTATATTTGGAGCATTTCCTATTATAACAGTAGGTATAAATGCTTTTATTACAAGCTGTGGATTCCATAATTTAATATACTTATGCACGAAAGTCATAGAATTATCGACTATTACTTGAAATAATACTTATTTGTTCAATTTTTTCTATTTCTTCATTAGCATGAACCTCTTCCAGTAGTTTCTCAATTTATCCTCATGGTTGTTGCTGGTTGTTTACGCCTGTATGTTACTGCTTGGCCTGCTGATGACGTATGTGAAATGGTTAGTAAACATTTTCATATTTTTATGAATTAATGAAATTGTGTTGTTTAACCATACTTTATACGTAAAAAAATTGTTTTCAATGTTATTATAATCCTTTTTTTAGAGTGAAAGAATAGCCTTATCAATATACACTTCTCTTTGGTACAATAAATCGAAAAAAATGCAAAAATCAATATTAATGATGATTTATAGAGCTCAAAAACCACTCATTATATCAATTAAAGGGATACTTCCAGCTCTTACTCTGAAATATTATGCCGCAGTAAGATAACAATAACTTAAATGAAAGACACAGTAACTGAAGTTTTTAAATTTTCAGTTTTTATCATCGACACTTTCTTACTTTATAACGCTACGGGCTGTTGTTGAGAAATGAGATAATCATAATATAATGAATAAATAATATATTTGTATTCTAAATAAAGATATATTTTAAAAATAATTATTTTTAATGGAGATAAGTTTTTTTTACTATATATTTTTTAAATATTTGAAATATTTACTAAGCAGCATAGTAATTTGAATATTTTTTTATATTTAAATTAATATTGATAATTAAATTTATTGTTTCAGAAAAATATTACTCTCCTTTCCTCTTTTGAAGTAAACATCATTTACCCTCATTTACTTAAAAAAAATATTTGTTTCAGACATCCACTTCAATTTCTTCATCATCTTCTTCATGTTTTTTTATAACTTGTGAAGATTTAATAGAAGTCTGTGGATTCTCTTTAGATAAATTTCGAGAAGTTCCTTGTTGAGTTGAATCAGGACCAGGAGTTAATGAATTTTCACTTTCTTTGGTATGCCGCCATTTCATTCGTCTATTTTGAAACCACACTTTGACCTAATCGGTGGAATTATATTAGTTTATATATTCAATCAAAATTAATGTGACATGATATAAAAAAATTCAAGTACCTGAGCATCAGTAAGTCCCAAAGTAGCAGCTAATTGTCTTCTATCAGGTTTAGTAATATATTTTTGCAGGGAAAATCTCCGTTCAAGACCTTTTCTTTGAAGTGAACTAAAGACTGCTCTTGACCAGGATCTCTTCCTTCGCGACCCGCTTTCAATAGAAGACGTATTTGAGGACGATGAAATGGGTACTATAAAAACAGAAAATATGTTTAAGGTAATTAGCTCTTTTCATGAGGATAAACATGCTCAACTGATGAGAAGTAAGAAATATAGTATGATGATAAAAATACTAAATATAGGAGCATGAAAGTGTGAAAATAAAATCCAAAGAGAATTTTTAAGTTGATGAGCTAGTATATGTCAGAAAATTTAGGAAATAAAAGAAAGATTGAAAGTTCAAAAGGAATTCAAGTGTGTGTCAATGAGTTGTTCGTTTACACAAATCTTTTTCGTGGTGGAAGGCCTCAAGATGATGTACTTTTGCCTGATTTACAAGCTTACAAAAGTATACAACATATGTACAGACTTAAACATTGTGGTTCCCCGACGTTTTACGAGAATACAGACATGATCTCAGCCAACGATATGAAATTAATCATTTTATTACTGCTGCTGATTTTATGATTACCTATTTTAGCTGGTACGAATTAATAAAATAATTATTTTATTGGATAAAACTGAAATAAACGGGAATCTTAATGGATTGTGATTGACTAAGATTGTTTATAGTAAGGGTAAACCTCTGACGGCACTTAGGATATCGTTTAAACATAGACAGGAAACGCAGGAATACATTCACGAGTAAATATTATGGTCTATTTGTCGTATAGATATTGGGAGAAACAAGGCAGTGGTCCATATGTTGAGATTCTTTGGTGATGAATACTCTTGTTAAAAATGCCTAATTTTTGTTACTTTAACATCATCATATATTTTAGAAAAAATTATTCATCTGTCGAAAACCAATTTTATAATTCATAGTTAAAATTTTTTATATTTTCTCAAATACAAATTTTTTACATAGTGAAATATTTCATAATAAATCTATTTTTGTTAATATTTATTTTCAATTTGACTGTTTATTTTATTAATCTAGATCGTTTTAATATTTGATGGTTATTTTAAATAAATTATTAGATATTTTAACAAATATTAGATCTATTAAAACTATTTTTTCAGTACTTACCACGAGGAATTGGTCTGACTGGAGAAGGCCGATAAAGATTATGATACTTTTCATAAACATTGATATAATTTGATGGTATCGCCGTTAGCAACGGTGATGCTGCTGAAAAATCACAGAAAGTTATGCACTTTGAACAAGATACTGTTCCGGAACACGGGCATGTAATCACAGGATAACTGTCAGATATTTTAACAGCCAATTTGGATAGATATGATTGTTTTGATGAAAATTCATTGGATAAAATACGTTCTACACCGAATTTAAGCTTTGATGAACAAGTTGATATCGGCATTGAAAAATTGGTATTATAGCTCTCCATAATGATTCATAAAGGATTTGTAACTATTTAAAATTTCTAATGAATATTTATAAAGCTCCACAAACTGGCACTGGAAAATTTGAATCACATTTTTTAATATAAAAAACTATAGATTGAGTAAAGTGGGAAAATTGTGGTGATTTTCGATAGAGAATGAATTAGCTTGAAGTACGATTGAGTAAGAATTTCCTCGTTTGAATAAAACAAATATAATGATCAACTGGTAGAAGAAAGAGGATATCTCTGATTTGCTACCAACCAGAGGAAGGCGGAGCTTCGCTGAGATGACTGTTAACAAGAATGATCATCCGGAAGCTGTGAAAATAAATATTGGTACATCACTATTTTAAGTAATCGAAGCGATCATATACACTTGATCAAAAATTAACTTTAAGAGCCATCAATTAAACCACGTGTTTTAATATTATTATTTATTTTTTTTCTAAGTTGGTGATATTCATGATTGATTATGTAGTATTAACTAATTATTCGTCTTATAATGAACATTAATCAAACAACTTTATAAATGAATTATTGTAATATTTAATTACAATATTGAAATGATTTTACGAACATAAACTTTCAAAAAATATTAGATTCACATATAATTATAAAAGCTGCAAATCTTATTCCTGAATGCCATATGGTTATCTTCTTTTATAACGATGTGTATACAGATACTTAAATGTTTATTTGAAAAAGCATATTCGAAGCGATCTTCACTTCTACGTTGAAAATTCTTTGCTCATGTATAAATACACGTTAGTTTCCTATTCGATTTTATTTGATTTTAAGATACTTATGGTTAATCGAAAGTAGTATAAACACTTCTTGAATTAATGATAGATTTTAAATGAAAAACACTGTATAATTAGATTATTAAGAATTTATTTCACTTTAATTTGTTGTAGGAAGCATATTCTCTTGATAGCATAACCATTCCTTGGTAAGCTCGGTCAATATCAAAGTTATTTTCTATTGGATCAATAATGTTTAAATTTCGTTTTGGTCTTGAATATTTTTGCAAATTCTGTAGACTCTGAAAAATATTAATTATAATAAGTCATAGTATTAGTTATTTCCAACTGATTTGTTGAATAGTTAAATTTGTTACCGATAAAACAATAACATTGCCAGGAATTACTGAATTTCTTCTTATTGATGTAATAACAAGACATAATAAATATCCTCCGAATGCCAAAAAAGCTAAAGTAGTTAAAGCAAAGTGAAAAATTTTTGATATTTTATTATCTGACTCTTCCCAGTCACTGAATCTCTTAATTGATTTCGATCGATGTGGATCATGCCGTTTTAATTGCATTGATAATGGTGAAGCGATTCTTCCCTCCATTTCTGGCTCAATTTCAGGTTCTTCCAACTCTAATTGCGACATTAATAGATATATTTTATCAAAAATAACTTTTTTTCTTGGATTGGACTATTAAATTTAAACTTAACTTATACAATTTTTTCTTATTACATATAGTGTTTAAGCTTACTAATAATTTATAAAAAAATTCACTTACCATTGTTTTCAGCTGCTAAGTTGGATTTAAGTTGGATCAATTTATCTAATGGAAGTTCACTAAGACTTTGTACTTCTTTGGAGAATAATTCTTCACAGAAAAATGAATTAAAATACCCTAAAATACATAAGAATATAAACTGAAAGTTTTTTTTAACGCTCATAATAGTATAACTGCATGGAATGTAGAGGATGGATCTACTTATTCTGCACATAAGGTGTTACATTTGACACAACTTTTCTAAAGACTGTCTTTGTTTTTGCGGTTGGGCGATAAAGCGATAAGCTGGACACTTACGGTATTTGGTATAATCGTAGGTGGAAATAAACGATTTATTAATTATACCAAAGACCCGTTATGACAACAAGTGCAAAAGTAGTTCCTTAAAGTAACTCAGAATATGCAGACAGAAGCATGTCAGCGTTTGTAGTTATTATGCTCTTAATACTTTCGTGTCAAGTTTCTGTTTATGGAAATGAAGGTAATCTTATTCTTCACATAAAATTTCTAACTTATTGGACATTTTTTTTTATTTAAATGTATGTAATTATTTAATTTAAAGGTCCAAGTTTATTGGAAAAAATAAGGAATGGATTGAAATCTATGAAAAGTTATTTGGACAGGGTTAAAGGTATAGCTAGCTTAGTATCAAACACTTTTAAACGAAAAAATGATCAAAAACCATGTGATGATGATAAAAATGGAGACGGGATGAAGAGACCAGAATCAAGTACTTTGGCATCAGCTTTTTTTCGTTTACTTGGCTTAGATACACCAAAAATAGCTGCTATAACTGTTAATAGTGCAATATTTCTTGCACAAATGGTAATTGATTGTCAATTGAATTATTCATAATTTAATATCAATTGTAATAATAAAAAACCATCTATTGTTTTATTAATACAGGTAAGCTTACTTTTCGGAATAAATTCTCAAACCAAACGTTCGTCAGATCAAAATAATTCTAAGGAAAAAACTCTTTTTGATCCTTTTAAATTTTTTATGGAATCTGATAATGAAGATGTAAGTAAATATTTATAATAATTATTAACTTAAAATGTTACAGAAATTTTTATAAGTCATATTATCACTTTAAATTTGTTAGATTCAAGATTTAGTAAGACAAGCACAAAGTTCAGAACTCCCAAATCGAATAATTGATGGGATTGATGAATTTGATGCTGCTTGTGTACGATTGCTGATGTGCAAATTTGCTCCAATAATTTTACATGCACAAGAATCTTTAAAAAATAAAACTGCTACACGCTTTGCATGGACAACATGGATTCCAACAAAAAGTATTTTTGAAGAAAATGCAGAATATTGTGAAATAAAACATTCTGATTGTAAAATATTTCCTGAAGAAATTTTAGATGATTAATGGTAAGAAATTTACTGACTTAAGTAAAAATTAAAATTTATCTCAATTTCTTAAAACAACTTAAACAATTCTCATACTCAAATATTCAATATACAATTGTCTAATATATATTTTTATTAACAATTGCACTATTACATGTTAAAATGTAAATGTTAAATAGTTGAATCAATGGAAAAAATTCGAAAAAGTTTTCGATCATTGCTTTGATTCATTGTTTGATAATTCATTAATTATTTTCATGAAATAACTTTCTTAATTACGTATATAATTTATTAATCATACTTTGGCATGTGATGGTCCTACTTAAAATTCTAATTTCTTATTCTTTAAAAACAATTTTAAAAGAATAATAATATCGTATACAAGGATGACTTTAGAGAATAGATAGAAATCATTATCAATATCATTCTTTTGTACAATACTGATCATCTATTTACAATAAACTAATTTACAAAAATAAGAGAAATATTAGAAAATCTAATAAATCTAATTTATAAAGTATCTATCAGGAATGAAATATTTCAATCATTTCTATCATCATCTTCTCTTTTAGCTTTTTCATTTTCTCCTTCATATAAATATTCAGTAGTTATCTTCCGTATCAAGAAGATTAATAAAAAAAATTAATTAAGATTTCTTAAAGTGTTGCTTGACCAGAACTAATAAGATTGTTAGTTTCTATTCGTGCTTGGCGTAACCAGTCTCTCATGTTTCTTGTTCTTTCTATTAAATTTGAAGATCCTCGTTCGACAGTTCCAACGCTAGTAGTAAATCCACTTGTTGGTCCATATTGAGCAATTATATTTTGCGTTGTAGTTGTAGGAGGTGTTGTCAATTGAGATAAAATATTTGATTGAATGTTGGGTGTACCAAATCCTGTATTCATTCAATAAATATATAATTAACAGAAATATTATACTCTCTAGATTATGAATGATTGAAATTTCTTTAAATTTAATTATTTTTAGAAAATACCTTGTATATTATTTGACTGTGTTGTTAAGTGTTGATAAGGTGACCATCGTAAATCAGAATAAACCAGACTTGGAGGTGGAGGAACTGTGTTTCCTCGACTTTTTTTCAAAACACTCCAAATTTCTCGAATGTCTGAATTTAACTTTTCCAAATTTGCGATAATTTCCGTCGATTCTTGGTAATAATCGGGCTTATCTAATTTTTTATTTATTTCACAGAAAAAATGAAAAAAGAATTTTTTAATATTGTTTGGTATGATCAATTTCTTAACTTACATCAATTAAATGAGATTATTTATACCTAAATCTGTAGAACTAAATCCACTGCTAGCACTTGAAATATCACTCAAAGTTAATTCGTCATTTTTAAGCATAGCAGCTTCAGCTTCATTTTTCTTAGCATTTGCAACTCTCTCTAAAGATTGTTCTAAGTGTTTTAAGTGAATTACTTTTTCACCAAGAAGACTTTTAGTTCGATGAAGACTAACTTCCATGTCGGAAAGATCTCTTTCTTCCTGAAAATATCAATAAATTTATTTATGTGTTCATTAATAATTAATAAAGTCAGATATTGATGTAAAAAAATTATTCAATTTTTACCTGAACTAATTGTTCTAAAGTTGCTCTAGCACATCTTTCTTTCCAAGCTTTTTGCACGTCTTGAAAAATATTTTGCTGAGCTTTTAATGTTTCACGGGCTCTCTTAACAGAATCTCTTTCAACATGAATTCGATGTCTGAAGAATTCAAGTTCTGATGACGCACTTACTGGCACTAAAGCATTAAATTACAAGTAAATATATATAAAATTGTATAGTTTGAAATTGGCTTTAATATTTAATAATTACCTTTATCTTGAAAAGGGTATCTTAAAGTATAAGCATTCTCATTAGTAGGCAGCTGATCACCCAGATCTTCTAATTTCTCTAACTGCTTTCTAATATTTTCCACAGGATTATCAGTAATGTTATTATTGTTATTATTATTGCTATTGTTATTATTATTATTAGAATTATGAGGATTTTTTGGAGTACTTGTAGTTTTTTTTGCAAAAATTTTTTTTTTCTTCAGAGTATTTGAGTTCATCGTTTCACTTACAGTTGTGGTGTCATCAGATTCTAATTTCCCACTTCTCGAATCTCCATGACTGAACTTATGTAATCTGGACAACCTCTGACTTTCAGAATTATCAGCAATGTTGGAATTAAGAGCATCAGGAACTTTGAAATTTGTACTGGCATTTTTCGACGATGTTCTAGCAATACGAATTAAGGCCTATAGCCAAATATTAAGGGAAATTACATGAGGATGAAAAGTGTACCATGACGGCTTGTAATACATTTAATAAAATCGATTATAAAACATTCATTAATTTCCTAATTATTCTTGTATTGGAATATTTCTACACTCAGATATTTCATCACTTTAATGATTATTAATTGAATTCAGTAACAACAAAAATTTGTTAAAATTGTGCTGGTTTCAAATTAATATCAATAAATAAAGTAAGTGTAATTAAAGTTTTTTGTGGAGAAATAAATCAATGCGTTTGAAATGAAAAACTATTAATATATCAATGTAATAGGATTATAAATTTTAAAGGTTTCTTGGATTAATTATTAACGCCGTGAGAGTACACAAAATAATAAATGAAGATGCAAGAATATTTTGTGCTATATATTATATTAGAATATATTTACCTTTGCAGTGAAGATTCCGTTCTCTCTGTTTTTGTTCTTGTTGATGCTGATCTTTCAGTCTCTGATGCTGTTGTATTACCTTCCCTTCTCTTGCTGCGCCTTTCCACCGCCAATCGTACATCATTTTTCAATTTTAAATATTTTTCCTTCAAAGTTTTATATTTGTCTTCCAATAACCGTTTTTCGCAACGTATCTTATCAAAATTCGCTGTTTCTTGTTGAGCTGCTCGTTCAGACAATTTTTTCATTTCTTTCTCGATATCTCGAGAAAAGTCTGCTCGAATTTCTTCCAACCTTTGCTTGTAAACTTTTCTAGCTGTACTTTCCTATGAATAATTGAAACAATTAATTTTTTTTGTTTACATAAATATTCATTAAGTATAGTTATAATTATGTACTCACTTCAGTTCGAAAATCTTGAACAATTTCTGCCAAACATTTTTCATTATCTTCTGTAATTTTCATCATTTTTTCCCTTTGTTGAGCTCTCAATTCATTTCTTAAATCATCAAATTCTTTTTCAAGTTCTTTCTTCATCTCTTCTATTTTTTCATTATGCTTTTGAGTAATTTCATGTTCTGCCAATTTTAAAGCTTTTTCCTCATCAACCGTTTGATCAAATTCATTCTCCATTTTTTCTATCTCACGATTTCTCAACTCTAATAATTCTTGTTTCTTTTCATCCAATTCAATTTTAAGTTTCTCGAAAATTTCTTGTCTCTCTTTTTCGTAACAGCTTTCTAATTCAGCTCTCACTTTTTCTAAATTTTTTCTACGTGCTTCATCCATTTCTGCAACAAGTTTTTTTATTTCATCTTGCTCTTTTTGATGTAATTGATTTTTAAATTCTTTTAATCTATTTTCTAAGTCTTTTTCCATTTGATTCTTTTGTTTAATAAAATTCGCTTCCATTTCTAATTTTGTACGGTTTAATTTTTCTTCAAGTTCCTTTTTAAAAGTAACTATTTCGCTTTCAGATTGTTTATAAATTTCTTTTTTAGCACTTACTTCCTTTATCACATCAGTGTCAGTCTTTAATGTCATACTTAAGTGAGATACTTGATGCAAACCTGTTTCCTCACTAGAAGTTCGCGGTGTACTATCAGTATCACTTTTTGAAAATAGATCAATGTTTTTAATATTCCCAAATTTATTCGTTGGCAAATATTCATTATCATTTTGGCTATCTTTAGAAATTTGACTCAAATGCTCTGTTTCAGACACATTTTGCACAAAGAATCGATTGGCAATTATCTTAGGAGTATCATTAATAAGTTGTAGGGCCTTTTTTTTCAACATTTCAAGTTCTACTTCATTTTCTATATCAGCTATTTCTCCATGAATGGACTGGTTTCCTGTAGAATTCTGTGAATCTTTCACTTCCTTCTTATTTATTTGATTTTTATGATCAGATTTAGAAGTAGTCATTTCCGAATCCCAGTTTTCTTCTTCAGAATCAGAATAAGTAAATTTAATATCTTCCGGATGTTTTTCAAGATCAAATCGAACACTTTTCCTCTCTTCGTCCATGTGACGATCATCTAAAAAATAAGGTATTATCATTAGATCTTAATGAATAATTTAATATATTATATTTTCCATTAACTCATGTTAAAAATTCTTTTTTTTCTATATCAAAGTCTATTTTCCATTTCAGATTGTTTGTTTTTGATATTTGTATGTATATGGAGAAAAACAAATATAGATACAACTGCCAACATTGGAGAGGGCGCGCTAGTCAATGTTTACATCAATATACTTGATCAGCTGCCATGTTTTCTATCAATAATTTAGCAGAAAGACCACAAACAAAACACTGGCAGCTATTTTTATCTGTAATAAACTCATTTATATCGTACAAAACCAGTTAACCGTTAATTATTATGAGATAATGAATTATGCAATTGAAGTAGTTACTTATTTATTTGTGATTTATTAATGGAAGAAACTAATAAGTTTATTTTAATAATACTATTTAACGATATAGAAAATTTAAATTATATGATAAAGATTTCATTGGTAAGTTTTTTTTTACTAAAAATTACAGAATAATTTGAAATATTGATGAATAAGTGCCATGAATCAAATACATAATGTTAAACATGAACGTAAAAAGCCTTACCATCTTCAGTAGGCTTATCGCGAAGAATAGATTTTGGTCTCTCAAGATTGCTACCGTCGTTGACATTAGCTCTAGCCATTTGAAAATCTTCTAACCTTGTACCATCTTGGCTTGGAGTGTTATCTCGACTTCGATTGCTTTTGAGAAACATGAGACCACGTCTAGTAAGTTCAAGTCCTTTTTGTTGCCCCAATTGCTTTGGATGCTTTTCTTTATCAAATTTTTCACTGACTGACTTGGTATCTGATTGAGTCAAAGAGTTTCTACTTAATTTGTCAATGTCAATAACATTTTCTTCAGAATTAAATTTGCTCGATAATTGTTCCCAATCTTTTTCATATCGTGGACTCATTGATTCTGATCTTTTAACGATTTCTCGCAAACTTAATTCTCTATCAGGGCTTTCTAATCGTTTAGGACTTTCGTAAAATTTTGGATCTAAAAACTGAAGATTTGTGTAATCCCTGGATGCTCGATCAGTCATAGTAGAACTCGGAGTCTTTAAGTCGCTCATAGATCGTCGATAATCCTTTTTCCTTGATGAATCAATGCCTGTTTTCCTCAAAGGGGCCAACTTTGTGGGTATTTTCGTCTGAAAGATTGGGACTTTTGATGATGGAGGCTCTTTTGATAATGTTGTGTCTTCGTGTGAGTCCAGGTCTCTTGCTGTTGTTGCTTTGGAATCATCGTCTGTGGATCGCCAGGCGGTGGGTTGAATGTGAGATTATCTGTGCATGCATTGACACGACCAAACAGCCAAATAGATCAAAGTACCATCGAAAATCATGTCATGTTAAAGTCGTGATTCTAGACTTGTTACAATATTATTCATGATATCGATGGTGAAATAAATGGCATTTATTCATGTGTATTTATATTTCAATGATATCACTAAATTTTAGAAAAATTTCATAAATTGACTTTATAGTAAAGTAAATAATTTAATTTTCTTTATTTAAAAAGGTGATAAGAGTTAAATTGTATAAATAATTAATTACTTAAATGAATTAATTAGTCATACCCAAACTATGTTGTTTACTTTTCGAAGCCCTTGCATGTTCCACAAGCTTTTTATACTTAGCATCGAGAGGATGCTCCCAACGAGTGGTTCCGGTTGATGCTTGATAGTAGTACCAGGCGCCTGAAGCTTCATGAAAACATGGACTCCAGCCCTTTGGCAATGCTGCCATAAGACCTTCACGCGCAAGATCAAGAAGGTGTGGTTCTGTGTCAGGATCGATTCCTAGCTTCTTTGCATAGTCGAGAATTTCTATATTAAAGTAATTAATTAATTTAATTAAGCGTTATTCTATGAAGAACTAGTCATCAATAACTAGTTCAAATCCAATTATTTTTAAGGCTCTTTGAAGTTTTATCTTTATAAGAATCCATTTTCAATTTTTTAGCAATGGAAATTTTTGGATACTCTAAGATTACACCAGATTTTAGGTCGGTTGGTAGTATTTTTTTTCTTTGGAATTGCAGTTAATAGACAGCTCAATCGTAATAGTTTTTTTGAAAGTAAAAATGGAAACGGATGATGAATTATTTCTCACAAGCCTTCCTTGTAATAGCAATAGTGTCTCGGTAGCTGAATAGGGATGATTAAAAATTCTATCAAGGCTACTTTTAACAGGTGTGCCTGAGGCATGGGGGTGACTTACCCGGGCGCGCCAGCTGTCTACTGAGGATAAAGTAACAATCCAACATAAAAGTTTGCTAGCAACGTTCTTTATTAAACTTTTTTCTAATTTTAACATTTTTTTCATTTCACTCGTAAAAATTACTTTTAAACTGAATTAAATTAATAAGGTTTTCAATATATTTAAATTTAAAAAAAATTTAAATTAAAAACAATCATAATATTTTACCCGCAATATGAACTATTGATTTTTGTCAACCGCGTAAGGTCGACCGCGCCGTTGCATAGATATCGTTATGTAAATAAACAATAAAATTAAAACAAATGCAATTTAATTGAATTTATTAATTAGTATATTAAAAGAAAAATGCATCATTCATTTTACGAAATCATAGCATTAGTTGTTACTTTCACTGAACCTCTGCATTCATCAAATAAATCATTCTTTCGTAATAACTAAATTAAAAGTAAACAATTTTATATTTTTAATCATTTTAATTTCAAAAAAGCTTACCTTCATTAGAAGGAGGAGAAGTTTCATCGAAAACTTCTCGACAGACAATCGTTGTTGAATTATCTTGAGAAATACTCATTTTGGAACAACCCGTTAATTACTTTAGTAGATTACATCAATTCATTTTTCATTTTAATATTATTCTTTCTATTTGACAGGTTATTACAATGTTGTTGAGGTGAAAATTCACGTATTACTGACATGTTAGAGAATGCGCGAACTGAGCTGCACAACAGTCAGTACTGGATTCAACTTAAATGCAGACTAATGTGGAGACAGGTTGCGAGGGCGAATTCAGCGCTACATAAATCCATATTGTGCCGCTTACTGTGTATGTGTGAACGTTCAGGTTCGTAGAACACTTAGTTATCTGCTGTTAAAAGCTCAGGGAACTGTAACACACATTTCAAAGTTCTAGGAAACTTTGTTGAACAACAAATGGTAACGTTTTCAATTTTTTTATCATGAATAATTGTTTAAATTATGTTTCTAAAGTCTTCTCAGATGGAGCTGAAAGTGTTACAGTCATTTCTTGATCAGTTAGTTAATGACCATTGTCATGATAATTGGGTTAAATTTTTAATTAATTAATGATCTTTCATTGATTACTACTGTTATTATAGGTAATTAGTTGAATACAGGTATGATTTAATATTGAAAAGTTGAGTAAAATGATAAATGAGAATAGAAATGATATATTTACATTTAATGTACTTTTGAGAAAATAATGATGTCTCACCAATAGAGATATTATTTAAATTTAACTTGTGAGGAAATAGAAGAGCTTCGTTATATCGTGTTCGTAGGTTAACGACTTGAAATTCAAGGCAAGAGCGTGAACACGAAAATTAAATGATAATGATATCCTTCACCGTGAATATAAACCCTCTAAACTTCACGTAAGAATAACTTGTGAGCTTTGACGCAGTCCTTTATTTTTCATTTTTCCCTTCTAGTAAATTATATTCCTCGTTAACTGATTCACAACCAAGCATCGAATAATATTTTTTTCCAAGATTACGTCTCCTAAAATTCTTTATCCATCTAAATAATTTATTGCTAGCAAAATTTTATTGCCAAACTAATGGTACAATCCGTCATTTATATAATTGCAATACAATCACTTCAACTATTTTGTATACAATCCAATGATCTGTAAATTTAAATTTATTTTCAATAAATGGAGTGTATGTTTAGCATTAAAAAATCAATTAATAGCGGAAATAATCGTTAGCTGACGAAAATATGGAGTCTTCCAATGAAGTTTAACTTGTCTGGATATATTAGAAAAATTTTCATCTAGTTAATCCTCTATTATCAAATGTTTTTGTTAACATAAAGAATATGCAAAAAATATTTTTTTCCTTTGATCATTTTTTTTTTAGAGGAATGCAGGGCAAAACGGATTCTCGCAGCAAGATGGATCTTTAAAATTTCAGTAATTTGGTAGAACAAAACAAATTCCTCAAAGCTGTCACTAACAGTTTACATTCATATAAAAATGTTATTTAACTAAATTTTCATTTTCTTAATTACATTATTATGTCTAGAAGAAATTTTTAAATCAAGAAATCCGTTGTACCCCAAGAGTCTGTCTTATTCTGGGCTCCCCTACATTAGATCATCATTGAAAAGATAATTTTTTGCTGTTATTAAAATTGTTTAGTTCAGAATACGTCTATTAAAATTAGTTGGACGAATTTTTAAGTTATTTCTTGAAGTATTAATCAATTTGATAATCCTTTTATAAAATAATTAAATGAATATGATCATATATTTTTAAAATAGTGTACTATTGAAAACTAAGATTAACAAATTTATTCATATGATTCAATCAAGATAAATATTTTATTCAAAAATATCTATTCAATAATTTTTTTGCAGAACATTCAAATTTTTTTTATTATTATCTTTTCTTCACGGTTTAATTCAATCATATTTAATTCTAGGGACTTTTTTCAAGTAGCAGTTAGTTTATCTCGAATAAATTGTGGTACAAAATAACATTTAATAAATTCACTTAATCATGAGAATGAGAGAATGAATGATGAAGTAAAGGAGAAAAAACGTTAAAAAATGTTATACTGCTGAGCTATGAGATTAGGCTATAAAAAAAGCCGTTACTTTATCTGACTAAGACGAGTACGCCCGTCGATAAATGTTTTCATCGTTCAGGACAATTCTATTGGTCGTTAGATTCTTGCTTCAGTCACTGGGGGTTCCCCTAATCTAGCTTAACAACGTAACAACGTTACCTTGTTAAATAAATGTCACACAACGAAGGGTGGCCACGAAACGGGTAGAAAATTTGATTCTGAAAGCCAACCCCCTCCAAAAAAATGGGCCAATGCTTTATAAATCAAAATGGTGGGCTGGTGAAATATACAATCGTAGTAATAAAAAATATAACAATATTCAATTCTTTCGATTCAATACGTCGAATTAAATAATGGCACGTGTTTAATTTTGCACTTTTATTCTTACAAAGAGTCAAATGTTTGATGAGGCATCATATTACCAGACATTTATGATTGTCAAATTGTTAAATTATATCTACACTATTCAATTTTTAAAAGTAATATTGCATATACGATTTACTAATGTTTTAATAAAAAACTTCCAGTCGAATTAAAAGTAACAAATAATATAACTTTTCTAAATATTAAGAATATATATTGCAATTGGTTTTGAGTAGATAAAGAGAAAAGATGTGATAAAGTTGAGTAAAACATATTTTTCGACAATGAACAGATTTAAGTTTATCATATTCTGACAATGCTGATTTACTCTAATAATTTAAACGAGTTATAAATAATATTTTTATCAATTTTATTTATTTAATGTTTGATAAAATTAGTTCTTATTATTGTTGTATTATTTAAACGGTAGTAAAAAGATATATAATATTCTATTTATGTGAGTCAGTGATAATAAGATATTTGAATAAATTAATAAATGTATATTTTATGTTGCTTGAAGAAAAATCGAAGAACATGACAATTTATCTGATGAAGACGATTCGATTTTTTCATACTTTTACTAGTATTATATTTAGTAGTTGATAAAATTAGTTTATTTTTGAAAAATTTAACGTTTAAACTAATGACATTAAATATGATTTGTGTGCAGACAAAGCAAACCTGAGACATTGATTTCATATTTTTATTTTAATTCAATTTATGTATAAGAAGTAATTTATTTTGCATAAAACGTATTTTGTTAAGCTCCAAAATAAACATATGTTTTCCATTCAGTATTGAACAATTTTATCTCATAGAGCTAACATGAATTGACATAAAAGTTTTATAGAAACATAGATAAAATAAAATCTATACCATAGTGATGATCATTGCAATTGACAAGTCTAGAAGCGGTAAAATTAACATTAAAAATTGTGCGAGTAATAATTTTAATTAATTTACATTCAGTTTCATCCTGTCAAAATCATTTCAATGGAGTTTTATTCTATTTGAAGTCTTCCTAATTATTCAGCATTAGGTAAATTGAAAATTTTTTTATACAATATTGTTATTAAACAATTACAGTAGAAGTGATAGAATAGAAGATTGTCATGAACCTTATCAATACATCAAAAATACATATTTATTGCAAGTTTTTGAATTAACACGATGATCATTCATGGTGGAAGGAATTACAATACTTTTAATACTAGAAAATTAGTATTTTTAAAATTTTTATTAGTCTTTCTTCAATTATTTATTGAAAAGAAGCCCATATGCATTCTTCAATAATGATTGAAAAAAATATATCTCATTAAAAGAAATTTTTGTAGAAAAATAACGAAAAAGTCAATCATTAATAAACAATAAATAATTATAATTAATAAAAATCTAGAAATTTTGAATATACTATTAGTTTACTTAATACTTTATTGAATTATAAAAAAATCATATAATTATTTATCAAAATTATATGAAAATTAAAATAATTAATTTTTGAAAGATTGTTTAGCAATGTTAAAAATTAAGCATCCGACGTAACGATAATAAAGTAACGCGCCATTAGAACGCCGGAATCAAACTGAAGAATTTTCACTGAAAAAATTTTAAAAGTTTCACAACAAATGATTTGAAATATATTGTTTAACTATTATATAGTAAGGTATTATAATAATTAGGGTTTGATTCTAATTAAATTAAATTATTATGAATTTCTTGACAATTTAATGGATACTTATCAATGTTCATCATAATATTTGAATCTTTAGTATTTTCCTTTAATAATAGGTTCTAAACCTGAACAATTATTACAGGCATATCCGGATGTGTGATTAACCAACGGAAAATTTTTTTTACGCTGCACAACAGCCAAGATTCTTATCCACCAAAGATGATGATGCAGTTGTACATCACAGATGTTTGTTTCCCATTCTACAGACTTAAACGAGATTATGATCTATGCGTCATTTTTTTCGGATTGACAACTTGATTGGTAAGTGTGATAAATGTTATTCTGCCTCAATTATAACGCTATTAGAAAATATAACATGACATTATGAATAAACTGTTGACGTAAATAGGTGAAACTAATTAATGATGCCGTCAATTGTAATAATAAAATATATGTAATGAACTCATTAAAATGATTCATTTACATATTTTTCTTGTCAATATTTACATGAGAAATAATAATCATCGTATAAAGAAAAATGAATTATCCAATCAAATGAGTTATCTTATCAGTAATATGTTCATTTATTAATTACATTGCATGTTATTTTTAGATTTAATTCATTTTATTATTTTTTTCATGGGTTGTATTGATAAAAATTTAATCTATTTTTATGCAACTAAGCTGATTACTAAATTTCAATATTGAAATGACTCTTATTGCTTTTTAATCATTAAAAAAAGTAAAAAAAATTAAAGTTTTTGATATAACAATAATTGTTGGATAAATTTGAGTAATATTTATTACTGTGATTACATTACAATGTAATATTATAAAAAGAATAATAATATTTCAGTCAATTTTTTAAATATCAACAATTTTGTAAAAGAAACTTGGTTTTAAAAAAAAGAAAATGAAAGATATAATATTAATATTATCTACCATGAAAATTTTCGAATGTGACTGTCGAATAATTAGATGATGAATAATTCCCTTATGATTTTTTATGATAGCTAAAATACCAAAAAATGTTTGGTACATCCTTTTAATATTTGAAATTCATGATGAGTTCTATGAAAATCCTTTGGCGCATTCAAAATTTGGACGGGCGATTTTAGACGAAAAAGATCAGCGTCGCCGGGGAGTCTCTGAAAATTACGAATGAAAAGATGATGAAGAAAAATATAATTCACATCGCAACAATTCACAAGGCGAGAATAATTGCGAGTTCCGTCAGTGTAGAGCTTCGAGCGGTTTTTTTCTCATGAGCTTGACGAATGAGAGGGCGAAAGTCTGGGCAACACGGTCGTCAGCGACGGTAAGAGTGCAAGCGAGAGGGTGAGATCCAATTAAAAATATTACACATTACCCGCTACACCACTAAAATGTATTTGCTGTCTAAAAGCAAGAGAAAAAAGACTCTACTCGTTTAACGTCGCAGCAAATGCCACCATAAGTTGATGCTTCGTGTATCAAAATATTGAGCTCGATATTTTTTTTTTAAATACCCAAAATATAAATAGAATTTTTTGCTGCAGTTTGTACATATTTATGCGCATAGTATTTACATAATTGTGTTTCTCGTATTCTCGGCCTCTTCATTTTCCCTCGATGAGTGCAGTCACAACGCTAACTGTTGTAGGAACATTAATTGGTCGACCAGTAATTGATCACTCGTAATTATCTCACCGAACCTCCCTGAGATCCACCTCGGAGCTCCTCAAAGGAAATCGGTACCTTCGATTCGGGTGATTTGACTCCAATAGAGACTCCTGTAGACGGATAAAAGTCTGATTTATTGAAGGAGCAATAATGGCGTGAAATCTCCAACATTTATAGGACATCCAAATGCCTCATCAATGAACGATTCATGATAGATTATTAAAATGAGAATTAGGAAGCTAATGTCAAATACTTGAACATTTTTTATCGTTTAATCATACTACATTTTCTCTCTTTTTCTTATTTAACATAATTATCATTTTTCTTGATAATAATTATGATGAATTTTATAAAACAGTGATAATGTTGAAATTTTCATATAATTGAGGAATTAATTGTTCTCCATAAATATAAGATAAATCATTATTAATGGACTTGACAATCAAAAGATATTTGGTGCAGTTAATGAATTCATGATTTAAATTTATGAAAAAAATATGTACAACCATTGAAATTAATTTTATAATTTAATTATTAATGGAATCTTAGTGAGAATGATTTATCAAGATTATATAGTCTTTTGAAAATCTTGATATTCAAATGAGTGATTTTCTAATTCAAGATAGAATTTATTTTTCTGATGAAAAGTAAACTATACAAAATTCTTAATTAGTTATGTCTTTAAAAAAGTAATTTCCATGAATATAAACACAGCAAGACATGACTTTTGAAGATATTATTTATGTAATGATGTGTCATTCATGACCACTGCATTCGTTAGAGTCTAACTTCATTACTGAACTGTTTTGATTTTTCTTTCAAAAGTACATTTTATTTACTCTGTTCCAGTTGCAATTAATGTAGCGACGTATTTTCTACTAAATAAGTTTATAGAAACAATCCTTGAACGTAAGTTTCAGGATGTATATTCTTGACTTTGAGTCAAGTGAATGTTTATTAGCATCGCATTATTATTTATTTAATTGCTGAAATATCAGTATTAAGCGAATTTACTCAAATTATAAACTATAACAGTAGTGTACAAATATAATTTTCTACAATTAAGTTATTATCACTGAAGAAATGATTAAAACAACAGAGCTCTTAATCTTTGGATACTTATTTAACGTTTATCAAATAGTTACGTTGATTTTATTTGTCGACCTATATTTTCTATTTAATTAAAAATAATTAAATTTTCACTAATCATATTACAACTGACTATTGTTATTCATTAAATGGATTTTTACCAAAAGTACTTCAAACATAAGAAAGAACTTTTTATTCAAGTAAACCATTAGAAACTTGGCGCATTTCACTCTAAACCCTTTCTCATCGATCAGATTAGATGGATTAAATTTTTTCAAATAGGTAAAATGAGCACACGTCTGTTTTCTCTCGTTAAAAAAAATTGAAGATATTAGTGATGATTGAAAAAATAGTGGATGTAATACAAAAATAGATGATTATTGTGAGAAACTTGAGTACGCAAAACATGAAATGTCAGATCGATCTTTAAAGCCTTTATTTTCTGCTTCCTGATTTTTCAACGATAAAAAATTACTCCAAACAAGAACTCTTCATTGCTAAAGAGAATAAACGACAAGTTGACGCGCTAAAAGAAGTGATGTTGAGAAACGAAGAGATCCAATACAATCTTTACGTAAAGAAAACGATAGAGGATCCGGCAGATCGATGCTCATCGTCGATATTGAATCTGACATGTTTTGAACACACACCCCTTTCATACCTATTTTCGATTTCTATGAATGTATTTACCATTGCGGTTTCTTCCCACGTGCAACCGAGAAATACGTGTCATGTTACCAGGTATTCTTTACGCCTTCACCATCGACCACCGGAAGAAATTTTGACCAAAAATTTTCTCATATTGTAATTAACATGACAGTGATGATTGGGAAAATATTTTTCTTGTGCATTGGAAATTTATCAATTATCACTAAAATGATGACACTTTATTTTCTATATTACTCTGGTTAGTAAATGTTTTCATTTATATCATTATAATAGGATAAGTTCTCTGGTAAACGTATAAAATATTCTTACCATCATATACTTGAGTAAACAATTGTTAAATCTGCAAATCAAGCCAAATTAAGTGTACGTATTAATGCCTGATAAAATAAAAATTTTGCTCTAATAGTTTTCTACTCAGACAATTCATCAAAATTGTTATATTATAATATAGTTAATATCAGACTTGTAACAGACTTTGATAAGTAAAAGATTTCTTATTGAGTTTTAGAAAAATATTAATCAGAAAGTTTAAATTTTGATGTACAATATTTAAATTTGTTTTCAAAATCACATCTCAAGCATTACTTTTGCCATACAAAGTGTATGTTGATCTCGGTTCAGGGTTTTTTGTAAAGTAAATGACATTACATATCCGGCGAGAAAATGTTGAATAAGTTAATTAAGACAGGTAGGGCTTTCAGTTTCGTCAAAACAAAGACCTACCTTGCCAAGCCGAACCAAAATAAGATCTATTCAAGCTGTCCTAACCCATGTTGACACCTACATTTGCAGATTTCTTTCTTATTACTCCAAGATTATTTCGTTGAATTCAATGATTGATTTTGCTTTAATTATTTAGGTAATTACATGGCATTGATTCTATGCTAGTGAAAATTAAATTATATTTGAATCAAATTTTTATAAGCATTTTACATATTATCTTGGATTATTAAATGTTAATTTTTTTTAGCAAGCTTTTTAAAAAGTTTAAATGTTCTGAATAACAAAATATTAATTAGTGCAAATTACTGCAAATCAATCGGTTTCTTAAAATTATCAGTAATTATTACACCGATTAGTGATTCATTTAGCAGTAAGCTGATGATTAGTGAGTCACTGATTCGTATAAATTTTACTGGCTTATTGTAAGAAAGTAATTATTTACTACAAATGTTTTGTTCTTAAAATTTATTTTTATTGTTCTTTATTTTATACTTTAAAAAATTAATTAACAAATATATTTCATAGGTTAAGTTATGAATTTAAAATACCAATTTAGGAATAAAACAAGAAAAAATATCAACATTTCGATGAAATTTGTTTTCCAGAAGTAAAAGAACATCTATAGATGATTTTTCATTTTTAAAATTATTCTTTTGATATATTTCATGTTTCTACAGCATATTCGCTTTCTTTAACTATTTTTACTATACATACTGATTCATCAAAAAGAGTAGTGTACTTAAAAAAATGCTTTTAATAACGAAGAGGACAATTATGATTATAATTTGAAATCCGGTTAATAAATAATCGACTGTTTTAAATGTAAATTTAAAAATCAATGTAAGACTTACATACATACATAGTTACATTAAAGCCATGATGATTCGGTAATGTAGATAAAAATGATGATGTATTCGTAGATAGTAAAAGAAGGGTAAATGGAAAAGCTAAAGCATACACAATGCGAATTCCAAACCTCAGTGAAGAATAAAAGTTGCGGGCGGTCAAGGGAGTATATTTTACTCTTCTATAGTCGTGTGTTTCAACGTGTCGTTGCATACATTATCTTCCCGCGGGCGCGAGCGTACATGGGTGTTCAGGCACAGAAAAATGCACGGTACAAAAGGAAAAAAAAATTTTCTTTGCCCTCTGATTGGCGGTTGCCGTAGCAACACCCG